TCACCTCTCCGTCACTCGCGTTCATCATCTCCTCGGCGTCCACGTCTGGAATAAACGACTCGAGACCCATCTCGTTGTGCTTCTCCACAATCTCACTGGCCTCTCGCGCCCGCACGTTGTTGGGATCCAAGCTGAGGAGACGACGTAACAGTTGACAGTGTAAGTCAGGCATGCACAATATCCTTTTTTAGTAAGACGAAAGAGTTTTACGGCACTTGTAACACAATTAGGTCACATGTGTACCGGAAATTAGAGGTGTTATAAAAGAGTGTCAGTTGACAGTGTAAGTCAAGGAAAAAAGGCGTTTTGTTAGCTTGCCCTACCTATAATAGGAGAAGTTTGGATTCATTGGCGTGTACATTTGTTTGGTTTTAGAAAAAACTCTCCTTGTCTTTTAAAGAAACTGAAAAAGGGGCAAAAACTTTACCTTTGATTTTCTCAAAGCAGCATTTTTGGGGATAGCCATCTTGTGCTTAAAAGCGCCCAAGTGTGAACAGTACCTTAGAGAGATGCTGTACTGGTCGAGCGCCTCCTGGTGTTGGTTCATATTGGCCAGACAGTCGGCCAGTTGCTGGTGCAGACGTGTGGTGCTGTGGTTCTCCAGCATTTTCCGAAGCCTGAAGCAAAGCACAGAAAAAAAGCTTGTTGTATTAACTCTTCAACCTACCATGCATTTTAAAATCACGTTTCCGCGTAATTCTCTCGTGTTTGTGAAAATGCGACCAGACATATTACGTTTTTAAAACTGTGTGTTTCATGTCAAACTGATCTATAAAGCATTACTCACACGTAGAATTAATTTATCTTTGACTTCCGGGTCAAACTAAAGGTTTGTTAGCTCGTACTTTTTTATATTCGGCCCCTACCATAATACAATAATAACTTCGAATCGGATGGTGGAACCGTCCAGCCATAGCTACGGACCTCGACTACCGGACGCTGCCACCGTCCAGCCATGGTGAAAGAGTTAACCCTTCCAGCCCCAGTCATTTTTGTGCACTCCCTAACCCCAGTCCCAGCCAACACAGCAGTATTACAGAACAAGAGGCATGCGTTCTAAAAATTGAAAAGGTATGGGTTTAACGCCCCTATCAACGTTCTAAAATGAGATGTAGTACCTTTGTAATGAGGTTTAGATAATTACATATAACAATTTTTAAAGGTAAATGAACAAATATTCTCAAAAATAAAGTTTAATTAAGTGTTCTAATTTAGAAAAAAGGCCCAAATTCAGTATCCCCTGAAACTGAGAATATACGCTCTGGGGATGGTGGGAAGTGCAAGCACTGATGAAATTATATGTGCATGGGGCTGGAAGAATTAAGTGTCTTTCCTAAAACAAGAAAACAACTACCCAGGAAAATTTGATTCAAGAGTCTTGTTTAAAGTTTTCCTTAAGACCATTTTAATTAAGAATACTTCTAATCAATGGATTTTTCAGGAGAACTCATATGTAAAACTTTGATTTTTTCACACAAGTAGGGTAACTGATTAGGTCTTCGATTTAACAAATAACAAATTTTGGCGCCAAAATGAAAAAAGATAATTATCTGTCAGCTTATGGCAGCATATAAGTGTTCCTTGCATGGAACCAACAAGGCCGCCCGCTACTCACAACTCGACTCCTTTGGCAAACTCCTGCTCCTGTATGAGAATCTCCACCATCAGGTACACAGGGTCAAGGAGGTTGGGGTCGAAGGTCATGGCCCGGTTCAGGTACTGCTTAGCCTGTGGTGTGTTTTAGTTTTAGTAAGAGTTTTACGGCACTTGCAGCACAATAAGGACATATAAGTGACGAAGATAAGAGGTGTTACAAGAGAGTAACAAACACAAAAAAGAAGAAGGGGAGATAAGGACGATAGATGTTTGACAGGAAAGAAGAAGCAAACCACACCAGAGCATCCGCCAGCCACCCACAGGGAAGACCAAGAAGGACCTGGCTGGATGGGGTTAAAAAGGTCCTGGAACAACATAACATAACATCACATGACGCTACACATCATGCCAGGACCAAAACCTGCTGCCCTGCACCTCCCCTCCACATCCTAAGGATATCAGAGGAAGGAAAAAAGTAAAAAGTAAAGTTCCTTGAAGTTTAACCCTATCCGTATGTCATGTTTTACTATCGCATCCATACGACGTGGGGAACTCTGTGTCACCACTTAACCCTATCCGTATGTCATGTTTTACTATCGTATCCATACGACGTGGGGAACTCTGTGTCACCACTTAACCCTAGCCGTACCTCGTGTTTTACTATCGTATCCATACGACGTGGGAACTCCGTGCCACCACTTAACCCTATCCGTACGTCGTGTTTTACTATCGTATCCATACGGCGAGGGGAACTCTGTGCCACCACTTTCCAAAGAAGAAATTTACTCGTTAATCCGATCCGTACGCTTTGCAAAGCAGTCTGTCAAAATGATTTTTTGAGAAATACTGACAATTTCAAAGAGGTCTTCGCTCTAGAAGTATTCTAAAATGTGAAGAATACAACCCCTGGGGTACAAAATGACCCCAGGCGTACGGATAGGGTTAAAGAAAAGAAATCAACACAATTAAGTTTTTTTTGGTGCAGGGGAAAAGCAACAGATGGCAAGATAATATCGAGGGCCGCCAAGTAAACCATGGTAAGTCATGTTTTCCAAATTTTACAGGAGAGACAAGAAACGGACTTTCTTGAAGCGTTTTGAGTGGATAAACCTCATTTCCATAAGGGAACCTAATGTCTGTCATGGCACTTGTAGGCTCCCTTATGAAAAAGAAGTTTATCCACCTAAAACTCTTCAAGAAAATCCGTTTTTTTGTCTCTCCTGTAAAATCTGAAAAACATGACTTACCATAGTTTACTTGGCGGCCCTCGATATGGCAGGGACAGGAACTGGTTACCATTTTGACACATTTCACGAATCCAAACAAAGCAATCACAAATCAAACCTTTCAATTTAAATTTACATTGAGGTAGGACTCAGGAAAAGATGTCAAAAGCTTATCAATCTAGACGATCTAAAAATAATTTTAAAAATCTGTTCCAAAACCTGAATTCTCACAGCTAGATCTATATATATATATATATGTATGAGAAATGTCTGGAAAGAGAAGTGGAAATCGTCATTACTGAATAAGTAGTAGTTCTTTTAACAAGGTGCAGACTTTTTATGAGCAATTATTCCCCCATTTTGCCTCAACAGCTAAGCAAATAGCTCAGTGTGAGGCAAGATACATAACTCTAGTGGCAAACCAGGCAAGTAAGTCTAATAATTGGTCGCTTTCAAGGACAAGCGGGCCAACCCAGATTTTTCAGGGGTTTCCGGAAATCTTGACCTACGCCAAAAGTGGGCATTGCACTACCTATAGGAGAAGTTTGGTTTCATTGGTGTGTATATTTGTTTGGTTACAGAGAAAACTCTCCTTGTCTTTTAAAGAAACTGAACAAGGGTCCAAAAACTTTACCTTTGATTTTCTCAAAACAGCATTTTTCGGGATAGCGCCCTTGTGCTTAAAAGCGACCAATCGTAGTAAGGATAGAAAAACATAGCTATTTACACTGCAACTGTGACAAGACAAAAAGCAACCAACCTTAGCAATGTTGTTTGGATCTTTAGCAAGTACTGAGGCCACAAGCTGTGAAGATAAAAGAGATATATATATGGGCAATTCTCCTGAAAACTTGAACTTTTCGAACACGGGCATCAAATTTTAGAATTCAACCAAATTGCTTGAAAATGTACTCAGTACACCTTTGACAAGTCTAGTTTTAATCCCTACAAGGCTGAAGCTAAAGCTTGTTTGGTTTCTTTGGAAACGGAAGTGAAGTTTAGACTAGTGCGCTACGGTCTTAAACGTTACAGGACTCAACAATACCGGTCAAAACAGGAAATATAATAGAGAGAAAGAAAACTTCATTGGGCAAGCACACCGTCCTTTACATTCATTGTTTGTTCACACAAATTTCAAAACATTTCTTAAAGAAGAAAATTCTTTTCAAACAATCATAATGTCTTTAGCGTTACGGGCAAGAATTATTTTTCGAAAAGAAAACTATACTTTTATTTACAGAAATCCTAATAAAAGCAGAACTTTAAACAAGCATTGCTATAAAACAAGGAATGTAATGGTGTAATTTCAGCAAATATGAAGAAAATCGATAAGTGTTTTTGGCAGCAACAATAGCTAAATGTAGTAGTCTTAAACGTTACAGGACAAAAAATAAAAAAGATGTGTGCAGAAAAAAGGACAATTTTGTTTCTTAAAAGTACTATGCACAACTACTGAGAACTAAAGCCAAGTTGATTGGGAGGCGGTGGCCCTGGCGAAAAGCACGCTCTTCGGGGCTCCAAACATTTCGAACGGATAGGCTACCACACATACACGCAACAACAGTTGGCAGAGCTCACCGTGAAAGTCCTGGCGTTATTGCCGATTGTCTTGCAGGCCCTCATCGCCCACGCGTACGCCTCCTTCATCTTGCGGTTACTCATGCAGCAGTCGATGAGCCCTGAGACAAACAAACACACAGACAAATGTCCGCACAATAAGAAGTAGTCTCAGATGTTATTAGTTTAGTTTTAGTAAGAGTTTTACGGCACTTGCAGCACAATAAGGTCATCTAAGTGCCGAAGAATAGAAGTGTTACAAAAGAGTAACATACACAAAAAAGGAGGAAGAGCTAAAATTTGCTAGAAAATGGCAGACAAAGCTTGGTAACTTTAACTTCCATAGCTTTAGAGACCCTGAAAACTGAAAATTTACATATTGTGTGCCATTAATCAATGTTTTTCTGAAAAATTCACATGCTAATGTATTTTTATATAGATTCTAGACATTAAAGGGGCCGAGCCAAAAAACAAAAATTCGAAGAAAAAATTGCCAAACTGACGGAAAATAGCCCGTTTCTTCAATTCCATTATTTGGATGAGCGCCTGATTTCACCACGCTGCCCCACAAATAATTAATTTCTTTTAAAAGTCTGACCCTGACCTTGATAGGCCTCAAATCGGCTGGGCGCCATCCTGACAGCCTCCTGGAAGTGCTGCATGGCCTGCTGGGACTTCTTCATGTCTAGGAGCCCCGCACCCTTCAGCACCAGAGCCTGGACGCACAGGTTGTCTAGGGAGTACGCCTGCACACACACAGATAATTGCACACAAACAGACGGTTAGTTTTTAGTTTTAGTAAAGTTATACAGCCCTTGCAACACAATAAGGTCTTATAAGTGCCAAAGATTAGAGGTGTTACGAGAGAGTAACAAACACAAAAAAGAAAAAGGGGAGATAAGGACGATAGATGTTTGATAGGAAAGAAGGAGCAAAACACACCAGAGCACCCGTCAACTACCCACAAAGCGAACAGGAAAAGAACTGAATTAATTCTTTATCTCCGGCAAGCTGCTCCCAGCGGCTCTCGGTCGGAACCGCTGTGCCGGTGACTCGCTAACAGCAGCTCGGGCACATTCCTTTACGACGACTTCCACATCAAATTACTTTTCAGCAATTGACGAAAACAGGTCTCTTAAACCGGAAGTTCATTCGTTAGACGAATAACTATCAAAATAGGTTTGCTAGTTGCGATTTAATGACCCATCTAACAACGTTTTTGTCATTTTTAGATTTAGCACCAACAAAGGGCAGCTGTGTAGTGGGTTTACCCCCCCCCGGAAATAAAGAGTTAAAGCTTTCTAAAAGCCCATCCAAATGTAAGCACGCAAATACAGGAACCTGTGAAGAAGAGGAGAACTGCACTCAAGCCTCCTACCAGCCACCCCAAACACCAACGCCCTCTGACTTTCTGTTTTAGTTTTAGTAAGAGCTTTACGGCACTTGCAACACAATAAGGTCATATAAGCGCCTAAGGTTTTATAGGTGTTACAAGAGAGTAACAAACATAAAAAAGAACTCTTACTAAAACTAAACTATCATGACAGGGCAGAGCGCTTTGCTTGCAAAATAATCTGTTTATTCTTCACACTTGCACTTGCAACACAATAAGGTCATACGAGCGCCAGAAGATTAGAGGCGTTACAAGAGAGTAACAAACATAAAAAAAGGAGGGGAGAGATAAAGACGATAGATGTTTGATTGGAAAGAAGGAGCAAACCACATCACCAGAGCACCCGCCAACCGCCCACTGACCTTCTGCGCGCAGTAGATGGCCCGGATGGTCTTGTACTTGTTGAGTGTGGGTGAGTGTAGAGAGCTGTAGCCCATGGCCACCCACGGCTCCACGCTCTGCTCCGACACTGACATCAGGTTCTGAGCCAGGCTAAATGGGGTGGGGGTAGGAATATGAGATGTCATTACGCTAATATGAACAGTGGTAAGTTCATGGCCACCCAGGGCTCCACAGTCAAATGCTTCTTTGATGAAACAACAAGTTAATATTCTGGAATTGTTCTTCTTGAAAAACTGAGACAACATCACCCTCACAAACTGTGGCACTTATTCTTGTTCAAAATACTACATAAGCTGGGAAATTCCATTCTAATCTAATGGAATTTTTTGTTTAAAATTTTCAGAAAAGAGTCTCCCCATATTCTGTCCCTGCGGTGTTATGCAAAACAAAAATTCTGAAATTATGCTAATTAAGCCCAAAAAATGTGAATATATGCCATTCTGTAAATTTTAACAAAGAATGATAAAGGAAAATAATCAGAAATTATACAAGAAATGATCAAATTATGCGGGGTGCATTAAACCACCGGGACAGCATGATATTCTAAGAACAGCTGTGTGTGTGTGTGTGTGTGTGTGTGTGTGTGTGTGTGTGTGCGCCTGTGTGTGTGTGTGTGTGTGTGTGTGCAAAAACCTACCAGTGGAGATCTGACAGCTTTTTCTCCTTGGCCAGCAGATAGGCAAACATGTCCATGTTTTTGAGGTACAGTGGGTCCAGGGTGTGGATCTGTGCAACAGAGACAGGTTTAGTTTTAATTGAGGGTTTTACGGCACTCGCAACTCGCGACCTCAGAGCTTTCTTGTCGTATCTCCATTTTTTTAAACAGTGGTGAAACAGCACCTGGACATGGATGGCTGGTGCGTCTATAAATAAATCATTGGTCTGGTGAAAATGTGATTTCTTCTTAAGCTCACTCTTTGCTATGAACTGTTTTCACTGTTATTAAAAATGGATATACGACAGGAAAGCACTGAGGTCGCGAACTGCATAAGGTCATATGAGCACCAAGGGGTGGATGTCAATGGAGAAGTCCAAACAGGGAATCAGACTTACTCTGCTCACCTCTCTAGCCTCAACAGCACAAATTATGCTTCAACTATCAAGGCACCCCGTGAAATAGAAGCTCACAAGAGTGTGACAAACATACAAAGAAGTAGAGGGAAAATGATGATAGTAAGGATACGGAAAGAAAAAGCAGCAGTTCCCCCTATGCTGTTCCGGCACAGTACTGTATGAGCATGACATTGATAAATCAGCCCATTTAGGGCCTATGTAAAATCTGAGTGGTTTGAGAAAATAGAAGCAAATTGAAATGATAAGAGTCATTAAAGTTTTAGTAGACGTTTTACAGAGCTCACAACTGCATAAGGTCATATGAGCGCCAGAAGATTAGAGGTGATACAAGAGAGTAACAAACATAAAAAAAAAGTTTGATAGGAAAGAAGAAGCAGCAAACCACACCAGAGCACCCGCCAACCACCCACATTTGAGAAAATAGAAGCAAATTGAAATGACACGAGTCATTCAGAGCTGGAGAAAAAGAAAGCCAGACAAAACCAACAACAAAAGGAAAGTAGGACTGAATTCCCCAACAATTGGTCGCTTTTAAGCACAAGGGGGCCATCCTGAAAAATGCTCTTTTGAGAAAATCGAAGGTAAAGTTTTTGCCCCTTGTTCAATTTCTTGAAAAGACAAGGAGAGTTTTTCTCTATAACCAGACAAATATACACACCAATGAGACCAAACTTCTCCTATTGGTAGGGCAATGCCCACTTTTGGCGTAGGTCAAGAAATCTGGTTTTGCAAAGGAAGTACTCGCTACTCACATCAAGTTCTGAATAAACTTCACTTGCTTGCTGGCCACGGACAGGAATGCTTGTCCTGTGCTTCTCAGATCTAATTCTAAAGTTCCGTACTACTAACTACAGTAAATACTACAAAAGAGTCTACATAACAAGAGAGGCCACTCCTCTCTTTGAGCCAATTAAAAAAGTGTCTTCAAAATTCGGTGGCGCCTTCTTCGCAAATACGCACCCTTTGCGAACAGAGTTACCCTACTTGTGTGAAAAAAATCAAAGTGAAACTAACAAGTTTTTAAATAAATAAGAATTCAAATTTCGGAAGAACGCTTTTTAAAAATGGTTACGCTGACAAAACCTTTTCCAGGGGAAGAGGCGACTGTTTTCTTCATTTAATTTGACTTTAGAATGAGAGGCGAGGTCATTAAAATTTAAAAAATTAAAAACTCCACACTGAACGAACCCGAACAGCTGATGAACAGCAGTCGATCTGCGCACGCAAGGAGGTGCTATTCCTATTCTTCTTCTGGAGAAATGAAAGAGAGTTTCAAAACAGACTGCAGCGCCATCTGAAGCAAAGAGCGAACTTCCGGCGGACATTTTTTTGGCTGAGTGGACCATCTTGTTATGAATTATCATTGATACTACCAAGATATAATATGGTGTGTACCCGTCGGAACTGTGTGAGGGCTTGTGCGAAGTGACCGGCGTGGAAACAGCCTTCTCCCAGGTAGCTGAGGACCAACACGTTGTCCTTGAGTCCATGCTGGGAACAGAAACAGGTGGTTCTAGTTAGAGTTTTTAGTTTTAGTAATTGTTTTATGGCGCTTGCAACACATTAAGGTTGTTTTAAATTCTAGTAAGAATTTTATGTTACTTGCAACACAATAAGCTCATATAAAAGTGCCAGAAGATTAGAGGTGTTACAAGAGAATAACAAACATAAAAAAGAAGAAGGAAAGATAAGAACGATAGATGTTTGATAGGAAAGAAGAAGCAAACCACACCAGAGCACCCGCCAACCACCCACGTTAGACTAGTAAGAGTCTTACGGTACATACAACACAATTAAGCCACATAAATGTCAAAGATTAGATGTGTTACAAGAGAGTAACAAACACAAAAACAGTTTGAGGAGAGATAAGGATGACAGATGTTTGCATAGATAGGAAAGAAGGAGCAAAACACACCGGAGCACCTACCAACCACCCACAGACATAAGAGTTTGTTTGGATGTCATTTAGCGCAGTAAGACAGATGAAAATAAATAAATGATCAAAGAAATAAAAAAAGGGACTCATGGTAATAATAATAATAATACTATGAATATGAATTTGAATATGAATATGAATAATAATAATTCGAATAATAAATAGTATAACAATAATACTAATAATAAACAGCACTTAAAAAAAACAAAAACTTCCCACTCAACAGCAAGCTGTATGCCCTCCACCGTCTAACAAGCTTCGTGCCACGAACTCCCCACCAAATTCAAGAGAATTCAAGGAGAAATTCTTAACAGTCGAAGATGTTTAATTTGGTAAAGAAATTCATGCTGTTTTCGACGGCGCACTCGCACTCCAAAAGTCTATTTCCAATAGGCTTACTCTTGTCCGAAAGGAATCGCAGTTTCGATTGTCCAACAAAATATTTGTTCATGTCCGATCCGGCGAAATTCAAGGAGTTTTCAAGGAGGTTCCTCAAATTCAAGAAGTTTTTAAGCAGATTTTTCCTTGAATGCAAATTCAAGGCGTTTTCAAGGACTTCTTGAATTCAAGGAGGCCGCAGGAACCCTGGTCTTTTTAGTTTTAGTAAGAGTTTTACGGCACTTGCAATACAATAAGGTCATATAAGTTCTGAAGAATAGAGGTGTTACAAGAGAGTAACATACATAAAAAAGAAGGACGAGAGATAATGACGATAGATAAGGACGATAGATGTTTGATAGGAAAGATGAAGCAAACCACACGAGAGCACCCGCCAACCACCCACGAACCCTGGTCTACCTACCCTGGGCTCCATGGTCCTGAACGTAGATATGGCACTGCTGTACTCCTTGGCTGCCATGTGGGCGTGGCCCTTGATCCATGTGTTCAACCTAAGAGGGGGGGGGGGGGGGAAGCTCATTTAGGAAGCTTTGTTTGTTGTTGGGTTTTTTTTAAGTAAGTGTTTTACGGCACTTGCAACACAATAAAGTCATATAAGTGCCGAGGTTTAGAGGAGTTACAAGAGAGTAACAAACACAAAAAAAGAAGGAGGGGAGATGAGGATGATAGATGTTTGATGGGAAAGAAGGAGCAAGCAAACCATACCAGAGCACCCGCCAACCACCCACTTTGTTTGTTTGGGGGTTTTTTTTGTTTGTTTGTTTGTAAAGAGAAGCACATTGACACAAAAATGGTCATTTAGTGCTGGTAAAAAGTAAGACAGGCAGACAGACAGAAACAAATGAGGGAAAGTAAAGAGGTATGACCTACCAGTGGCACCCTCCAACCACTTGCCTAAGCTACTGGACTCATAATCATGAGATTGGGGGTTCGTGGGTTTGAGCCTCAGCTCAGTCCGATGTTGTGTCCTTGGGGAAGACACTTTGCACGAATTTCCCACCTGGCTCTGTCCTTTCGGAGATGGACATTAAACTCGGAGGTCCCGCCTCTTAAATAACCAAATAGTGTTTATAGGGGCTATAAACATAAACCATTTCACCGTTTCTCACATAAATACATCCACGGATGCATAAAAAGTACTTCTGTAGAGATAGAAATACAAACAGCATCATATATGGTCGCTTTTAAGCACAAGGGGGCTATCCCGATAAATGCTGTTTTGAGAAAATCGAAGTTAAGGTTTTTAGATCCTTATTCAATCTCTTTAAAAGAGAAGGAGAGTTTTCTCTATAACCATACAAATATATACACTAATGAAAGCAAACTTCTCCTATAGGTAGGGAAATGCCCACTTTTGGTGTACGTTAAGATTTCTGGAAACCCCCGAAATCTGGGTTAGCCCGCTTGTCTTTAAAAGCCACCATATTGCCCTCTTTATACTATGCACAGACATACAATCACATGGACATAATATTGACATTAACAAAGGCACTTAAAGTACATTCGTAGGATCTGACAAGAACACAGAAACCTTGTTTAGTTTTCGTAAGAGTTTTAGGGCACTTGCAACACAATTAGGTCATATAAGTGCCGAAGAATAGATTTGTTACATGAGAATAACAAACACAAAAAAGGAGAAGAGATCAGGACGATAGATGTTTGATAGGAAAGAAGGAGCAAACCACACCAGAGCACCCGCCCAAACCACCCACTCAGAAACCTCGATACACATGCGCATATAGATATATAGACAGACAAACAACTGACCAATCACAGGACACTTGCGGGATACTGTTCATGATGTAGGTCATCAGGTCGACGCCTCTCATCCCCAGACTGAGTAGGCCCGTGAGAGCGTCCAGTGCCAAGGGGTGTTCTCTACAAAAAGACATACCAACAAAAAAAGCTTTTTTAGTTTTAGTAAGTGGTTTTTATCTTTAAAAAAATTATAGTAGAGGGTTTTACGGCGCTCGCAACTGCATAAGATCATATAAGCGCCAAGGGGTGGGTGTCAACAGAGAAGTCTTTACAGGGAATCAGACTTACTCTGCTCACCTCTCTAACTTCGACAGCACAAGGTCTGCTTTAACTATCAAGGCAACCCGGAAATAGAAGGTCACAAGAGAGTGACAAACATACGAAAGAAGTAGAGGAAAATGACAATAGTAAGGATTAGGAAAGAAAAAGCAGCAGTTCCCTGTTGTAGATCAGGCACAGTTATGAGCGTAACATGAATCAGCCCATTTACAATTCTACTGTGCTTGAACGAGAAATGTCTCCCCTTTGGGAATGGCCTAAAGACACTACAGTCAGTGGCACTGCCCCGGGGGGAGTAAGTGGTATACGGCACTTGCAACACAATAAGGTCATATAAGTGCCGAAGATTACAGGCAGGGGTTACAAGAGAGTAACAAATACGAAAAAAAGGAGGGGAGAGAAAGACGATAGATGTTTGATAGGAAAGAAGAAGCAAACCACACCAGAGCACCCGCCAGTCACCCACAATAAAGAGATGGTGTAGACAGAGTTACCTGATGACCTCCTTGTAGCAGGTGATGGCGGAGCGGTCTCGTCCCTCGTGGAGATAGAGCTTGGCCAGAGCTAGGTTCACCCGGGACGTCCTCTTCTTGGTGTTGATGCTCTCCAGCTGAAAGACAATTTGGGAGGCTTCGAGTGAATGATAGAAAGGAGGAAATTGGAACAAAAAGTTCGCCAGATTTTGATCAATCTGCAGGTAAAAATGTACGGCCCACCAACCCGCAATGAATGCATAGAGCATAACAGAATAATGGTCGATTACACGAAATGCACAATCTGGCAGGTCTCTATAACATCAACTTATTGCCGAGAGAATTACCGTAAATATCCGTAACTTATGCAAGACGATACTAAAGGCGAGTACGTATCATTTGCTACGGTATTTCGGTAGTCCGCTGCCGCAGTTTTTTTTATGGAGGGAGTAGATAATGATGGAGGAACAAGTACGGAACGGGCAGAAAGTACGGATTTCCGTAAAAATATGGAAGAGAGGAAGCACTGAATATAGTGCGGAAGTCTCTGTAAAGGAATGTGTTACTGGCAAGTAGTTCCAACCACCAGCCGCTGGGAGTGGTTTGCCGGAGAAAAGTTCTCCTCTCAGTTAGTTTTTACGGCGCTTGAACTGCATAAGGTCATCATATGAGCGCCATGGGGTGGATGTCAACAGAGAATTCCACACAGGGAATCAGGCTTACTCTGCTCACCTCTCTAGCTTCAACAGCACAAAGTCTGCTTCGACGATCAAGGCATCCCAGAGATAGCGGGTCACAAGAGAGTGACAAACATACAAAAGAAGTAGAAGTAAAATGACGATAGTAAGAATGAGGAAAGAAAAAGCAGCAGTTCCCCCTATGCAGTTCAGGCACAGATATGAGTATGACACTGATAAATCAGCCCATTTACAATTCTACTGAGCATAAGAACACGGTAATGTCCCCTCTTCGGGAATGGCCTAAAGACACTTCAGTCAGTAGCACCGCCGCGGGGGGGTTGTTTCATCTCAGTGCCCTGAGAGACTCTTAGTTCTTCTTTATAGTTTTAGTAGAGGTTTTATGGCGCTCGCAACTGCATAAAGTTATATGAGCGCCTGAAGATTAGAGGGGTTACAACAGAGTAACAAACATAAAAAAGAAAAAGGGGGAAATAAGGACGATAGATGCTTGATAGGAAAGAGGGAGCAAACCACACCACCGCCAACCACCCATTGAGAAACTATAAAGGTTACAGAGATCAAGGTTTTGCTGTGGCTTACAATCTGTTCACTACAATGACAATCTTTATTCATTTCGCAGCGAGAAATTTGTCTTGGTCGTTAACAATGGCAGTTGACGTTACAAAGGTTAGGTGCACTCACGGGTACACACAACAAGACAGGACATTAGTAAATATATGTCTCACGAGCTGGGACAACCGGCTACCAGCCTGTGCCTCCACTCCCCTACTCACCACGCTCAGAGCTTCGGAGTTTTGTTTCATCTTGTGCAGACACTGGTAGATCTTGTACTTCACATCCACCTCCAAAGTCAGTTCCTGAAACGAGCACAACAGGTTTTGGGTCAAAAACACGATAACATCAAAATAAAAAAAGACGTGTTTCATCTTTTGTTTAGTTTTAGTAGAGGTTTTACAGCACTTACAACTGCATACGGTCATATGAGTGCCAGAAGATTAGAAGGGTTACAAGAGAGTAACAAAGATAAAAAAGAAGGAGAGGAGAAAAGACGATAGATGTTTGATAGCAAAGAAGAAGCAAACCACACCAGAGCATCCGCCGACCACCCACTGGTTTTGGGTCAAAAACACGATGTATATCATCAAAATAAAAAAAGAAGTGCTTAATCTTTTAAAACACAACAGCCATCTTTGTTGACACAGTTAGATTGAAGTAGCAACCGATTTCCCATTTCCCAAAATTTCTCAGGTCAAGATTCACCTTACAGTACAGAGCTTTGCAGTTGCAGCCTATGAGTTAAGAAGACCAGCAATAAGAAAACGTGAGGCATCAGGGTGAAATCAGGCGCTCCTCAAAATAAAAAAATTATATTTTCGCATACACCGGCGCCCCAACTTCTGGAGGATGCCAGATCGCGGAGAAATTTCCTCAGAAGGCTAAAAAACCTGGAATTCCCTGGATCCAAGGAAGATTAGCATCACTGCAATGAAACACGTACAGTCATCATGAAAAAACTGGAGCACTGAACAAGTGTGCAAACCCTTACAGTTAAAGTGAACGTCTAAAAAGAATGAGGCAGAGAAAGAGTTAGCATACATCGAGCGATCAAAGAGACTGCCCCCCCCCCCCAACCACATTTAAACTTACTGTGGATGACACACTCTTGATCTTGCTCTTGTTCAGTGTCTTCCTTAGCAGCAGACATCTCATGAACACACTCTGAGGACCGCAAGAAGAACAAGGAAGTGTCACAATATTGCACACACAAGACTTGTGTGCACACCCAAGGGGAAATAAATGTCACTTTTATCAGCATACAAGTCTAAAGAGCAATGTACATTTTTGCTGCGTAACACTATAGACATACAATCCTCTTCTGGCATACAAAATAAATTCAAGTTTTTGAAAAACTGTTCTTAAAATCAGCGTTCATGCACATACGTGGTTATAAACTGACATCAACGATATAATATGACAGACAAAAGTCAGTTTGAGGCCCAGAAAAACCATAGATAGGCCTTATCAAAACCTGTGCAAAGGTCTACAAAAGAAATGTTAAGAAGGATTTAACAACACCAGCACAAACATCTCCGGGATAAACAATCGGACAACAAAGTCAAAGGTTACTGACCTCGGCTTTCTTGTACTCTCCGAGCTGGTAGAGAGCTTCGCCGTAGTAGATGAGGCTCTGGTACTTCTGAGGCAGGGACAAGATCTCCCCGGCCTCTCCCCCTGCATTGCCGTCTATCATGGACAGCACAACACACAGCTGCACGACAGAGTGGCAAACAGAAATGGTTGGGGCAAGTTGGGGTTTAAAAAACCGAAGTGTATACAGACCCGGTAACCGGGAACAAAGTCACGAAGTATACAGACCCGGTAGGGGAACTCTTTTGTGATTTCGGGAAGTTTCAGCGCCCAGACCCGGTAGAAATCTAGAGAGTGTGTGCGTGAGTGTGTGTGTGTGTGTGAGAGAGAGAGAGAGAGAGAGAGAGAGAGAGAGAGAGAGAGAGAGAGAGAGAGAGAGAGAGAGAGAGAGAGAGAGAGACAGAGAGAGAGAGAGAGAGGTGCTAGCAAAATGTGACATGCCCCAGTTGGCAGGAGGGAACGAGAGAAAGATAGAGTGGGAAATAGGTGGAGACCAAGAAATACAGAGACAAACAAAGAAAAAGAGAAGGCGAGCGATACAGAGAGAGAGAGAGAGAGAGGGGGGGGGGGGGCAGAGAAATAGAGAGGGTGACTGCTCGATTGAAATTATGACATTGTTCTTTACTTCAAATCGTGATTCCTCCAACTCCAAAACGGAGGAAAAACGATCGTTCATCGAAAAGACATCCGCAATCTTCATTTAGATCTAGATCTAGGCTAGCCGCGAAACTAGATCAAAGATTTATGTCTGCCTAGATCTAGATCATAGATCTAGAAGAACCTAGGTCTACCCTGAGCCAAGAGGGCGCTGAAACTCTTCGAAATCACAATAGAGTTCCCCTACCGGGTCTGTATACTTTGTGACTTTGTTCCCGGTTACCGGGTCTGTATACACTCCCTTAAAAAACAAACAGATTTATATGATACTGATACTGTAGTTGTAGCCCAAGTCAAAAATGCATGCAATTTAAAATTTTAGTTTTATCCGATCAACATCTAGATTTCTAGATCTAGATCTAGAAATCTATTAACATGCTAGATATTCTATGTCTAAGATCTTTAGATTCTAGATTAGATCTAGAATCTAGATCTAGATCTAGATCTAGATCTAAATCTTGGTCTAGGCTAGTCTAAAGACTAGACTGATTAGACTAGAGTAGAGTCTAGAGTCTAGAGTAGATGGATCTAAACTTACAAGCTGTTTCAAGTCCTCGTACAGCTCCGCTTGATACATGTCCCGGATATGATCAAACATTTGTCCTGGCATCTTGTAATATGTTTAACGGACGGAAGCATTCGCAAAATCCTCTTAGGAGCAAGGGAGAATCACACTTGTATTGTCCTTGTTGTCGTTGTAGCGCTGAACTTTCGAATGTTGCTCAAGCTTACACTTACTGTCACTTACAGAGTCAATAAAGAATAGTCTAGAGTAATCCCCCTTGGCGATTTATAGTTGACCAGGCTTTTTCCAATTTCCAGTTGTCATTTGCTGCCGAAAGTCCAAGTACAGTACATGATACTTCTTCATTTTATTTTAACGTTGACGGAATATAATTTAGCCTAAAAAAGGAAGAAAATGGAGGCAGATTACTTTGAGAGCGGTAGCATAATATCATTACATGTATTACTATGAAAGAATACAAGCTTAAGTCCAAATAACGAACTTTGATTTCCCCTGTCACAAAGGTGGCCCTTATAAAGAAAGAAAGACCTCGAAACAATTGAATGAATTAGAAGGTCCTTTCAAGAATAGATCTATCTTGAACCCGTAGGCTAACAAACAACGCTTCTGCCACAAACATCAAGTGAAAGTTGAATCACAATCAAGGATTTTAGACTTACAACAAATAACTTGCATGATCATAATCTAAGTTTCTTCATAAACAAAAGGCAAGTGATCGTCCTGCTTGTTTTGGGAGCCTAAGGAATTGTTTATAATTCATTATTTTTTGGGGGGTGATGTTTCAAATATGGTAAGGTTTAATAGTATTAAAAAGTGGCTTTGAGAAAATAATAGTTTTACGCCACCCCAAAGAAAACCAAACAAAAGAGAACAGGCAACAGCAGCTTGCATGATACCGAACAGGACAATCGGGCAAGGCTCAGTGAAGCAATAGGGAAAGTGAAACCACACCGACAGGCGCTTCCGCGCTTCCTCAAACAAACAATGGTGGGGCGGGCACAGACCAGCACACAGCCGCATGTAGGCTAGTGGATTTGTAAATAGAATCAGAGGAAATTTTTGTTTTTTAATTGTGATTTTATATTTTACATATATTTTAACGTTGTACTGAAAGTTGAGCACAATGTCAGTCTTGGATGGTCTGAGGAACTCGCCCAAGGGACAACTTCCCTACACTCGCAGGCATCTCGAACCTCTTGAACTGAAGGTAGGCAAGGCTAAGTTTTTGGGATTTGAATAAGGGGTAGCCAGGGGTTAATGGGTTAATTCCTATGGGAATCTATTATTTTACTTTCGCTCCCGTAGAATAGTATGTTGAGAAGTTCCACATGATTCATCCAATTAGCTAAACTAGGTCTAGATTATCTAGATTCTCTAAGTCTAAGTCAAGTGTAAGTTGCTTCCACCAGATCTCTGGACTAGAGTAGAAGTCTAGTTTCAGTTTAGGTACTAGATCTAGAGAAGGCTTTTATTTTGTTGCCTACGCAAGCAAATTACTACAGTATAGAGTCTAGTGTAAGTGACAATAAGTTTTTTTGAAGACCAATAAAAAGACAACTGAAATGAGAGCCCCAGGGAGCCATTTAACAAGACAATATAAATGATCAAAGTTTCAGACCCCTGTCTTTAGTCTTCATGAATGAAAAACAAATAGGAAATAGGCCTAGAATAAAATGGGGGTTTTCATTTTCATTGTAATGGCAGTAGATCTAGAATCTAGATCTAGTAATGGGACCGTTTTCAATACATGAAGCTGCAGCGAGCTCCTAGCACACTGGCCCAAATATAGATCTAGATGACGTATTTCCGCCATCTATTTTTGTCGTCGTCCTGGGTTTCCCTCGCCAGTTGACTAGATCTCGCCGTGTTTATATTTTCTGTATTAATTTGTGTTATCTTTTATTTTTATAAATAACAATCTCAGCAATTCTCATTCCATAAATTTACCTTCTCCTCAAAGCTGTACACCCACACATATCACACACACACAAGCGGACCCACACACGCGCACACACAGCCCAATTAGTTGGCGATGAAGCCTAGATCTAGTGACGTAGCACACTGCACGCGTGCCCGCCATGGTGAGATCTAGTCAACTTGCGAAGGAAGCCCCTGGTAGACGTTGGCGTCGATAGCCTAGTGGTTAGGCTACCGTACTCGTGATCGTGAGATTGTGGGTTCGGGGGTTCGAGCCTCAGCTCGGTCCGACGTTGTGTCCTTGGGAATGACACTTAATAATAATAATAATAATAATAAATGACATTTATATAGCGCTCAACCCCGAATAAAGTACACAGGCTCTGAGCGCTTTACAATACAGTACAACATACGACAGTAACATGAAACGTTGTGTTCTGACTAAAGAAAATTATTCCAAATATTCATCTTATTAATTTAAAAACAGAAACGACTTCAGCTGACATTTGAATGAATCAAAAGATTTGATTTCTCTCAACGTACTTGGTAAAGCATTCCAGATCTTGGGGCCTTGGTATTCAAATGCCCTTTCACCCATTGTTTTAAGTTTCATAGATGGTAAAATAAATTTCTTTTTGTCAGCTGATGATCTTAAACTGCGAGTTGGAATGTACAGTCTTAACAGATTTGATAAATAGGATGGTGCATTATCATTCAAACATTTGTGACATATGGTGGCCAACTTGTACACAATCCTTTTCTCAACAGGAAGCCAATGCAAAGTTCGTAAAAGAGGTTTAGCAGAGTCTCGCTTTCTTTTCCGTAAAACTAAACGTGCTGCATTGTTTTGGACAGTTTGAAGTCTTTTAACTTTTTTTGGACAGTTTGAAGTCTTTTAACTTTCTCCAGTGATATTCCTGATAACGAGGAGTTACAATAATTGAGTTTTGATAAAATTAAGCTAGTTACTAGTAAAGCAGTATACTTGGTATTGATCAGATGACATATTTTACTAATTTTTCTTAACATGAACTTCCCACTTAGCTCGGTCCTATCGGAGACGGACGTTAAACTAGGAGGTCCCGCCCCTTAAATAACCTAAGGGGCGTTAACCCATACCATTTCACCCCTGGTAGACGACAAAAATTTATGGCGGAAATAGGTCATCTATATTTGGGCCAATCACAGAGGTGTGCTTGGTGTTCGCTTTAGCTTCATGTTAATTTTCAATCAGGGTGATTCTCCAAACGTTCGGGAAAATAAACTTGAACTCTATTTCTCCTAGCGGTTTCTGTTCTAGAGATTTTTTTTGGGGTTATTTGTGAGATTTAGGCGTCATCTTTCATTCTGCCATTCGGCAAGGACTGAGTAGCATTTTTTACATCGAATTCAGTTTCTAGAGCTGGAGATTTTTGAATGTCTGAATATTCAGATACTTCAGTTGTGGTTGGGGCAACGTTCCCTGACTATACTTCATTTGAAAATACCTTCAAACGGTACTGCGAGAAAACGAAGACTGATCGACCTTGGCAGTAATCAATTTTGCAATTATTCACCCAGCAAAAACTAAAATCCTTCATGTAAAAAAAAAATCCTTCCACGCCCCCCCATTCACACCTTACACATACACACACACACATTCACACACACACACACACGGGCCACTCTATTCGCTATTATAATTATCAACAATCTCGAGAACGGAAACCGTTCGGAGAAATAGAGTTCAAGTTTATTTTCCCGAATGTTCGGAAAAATAGAGCCGGCCATTTTCAATTGATCTTTTTCCGTAATAATTATCCTGTAATTAAGACTGTATTTTCTGGCCACAACATTTCAAGCAGTCCCAAAGGGAGTCTGTTTTCTTTTGCTGTCTAAATTTGTTAAATATTTGTGTCATGACGTGTTGGTATCAGTCAGGTGCTTGTCAAAGTAGTGAAACTGAAGGAACTGGCATTTTCCGCAGGTTCGGGAATTTTAATTGAAATTTTGGCTTTTTGCCTCAACCCCTTTCTTGTCCTGATAAAGAACACATTCCTGTCAGGACAGTACTGAAAAATTTTAATTTAAGGCACGAAACAGTAAATTTGCAGTTTCGAAAGACTCTTCAAGCTTTGAAAGTCACCAAACTTTGACGGCCATTTTCTCGCTAATTTTACCTCTGAAGTCAGGCGACCCCCCCTACCTCTTTCAATTGCAAAAATATCTCAACTCTATTCATGACAGAAGAGTATTTTTTTAACCGAAAGCAAAACAAATGAATAAGCTTTAAAATGGGTGCAATAACTCCACATGTCCAGAAATAAATGAATGACCCACTCCACCGCGTCATGACACATATGGAGCTGATGGAATGCAAAATGTGATTCTTAGATCAGCTGAGTAAGTTACTCAGTAAGCTCCACTTTCCCCCTGTTGTACCCTTCACTATGACATGATGGTATACTGTATTCACTGATATCTGAGCTGAGTTTAATTCGATAAATTTTTACTTTGGCTCCTGCACGGAGATGCACTACTTTTTTGTATTTTTGAGGGTCAAACCTTTTTTTTTTTTGCCTCAGAACCCATTTTATATATATATATATGTATGTATGTATGTATGATTGTATTTGGCCAACAAAAGCGTCTCAAATTATTCATTTTAAAGAAAATTTCCTACCCAATTTCAATTAATATATGTATATTATATATTTAATACACTTTTAGATAGAAAAATACATTGGTTTCTTGTCCTCAGCATGCACTTGATCAAGTTTCTCCTGTACCCTTGTCACGGCACCATAAGGAGAGAGAGTCCTCAAAATTCAATTTAAGTTTTGGGCTTGACGCGTCTTCATTTGACGACACAGATGATATTAACGACGATTTTAATGATAACTGCAGCCAGCAGGATAGTTCTGTGTGGAGAAGTGACTTGTTCCGACTCAACAAAGAGTCCTTCAAGTCAACCGTTTCTAATGGGGAATTTGAGAAAAAAGATCCCAGGTAAGTGGCACTCTTCTTCTTGAGATGTATAGTAATATGGCTGAAACATCTGCAAATGGAGATGATTCCAAAGAGCTAACAGTTACTACTCCATGGATTTGTTGCAAATTTGCCGTAGTAGTAAACGATTATATTGAGAAGGTTGCCAGTCAGTCTTGACCAAAAAATCGGGCTGCATGAAATATGTACACAAGTGAAAAGTTTAGGAAAAGATGAAGATACTGAAGATCCTCTGCTTGGGAATTAGACTTTCTAAATGCATGGTGAAGAGCTTTAGTATTGGCCTCAAGTGTCAGAGTTGACTTCTAGGAATGTTGCTGTTCACCGTTGCAGAGATTTGGGAGCATATTCCCCTCAAAAGGAAATGTTCTGACCGTCTGTTCATATGAAAAGGACCGTCGCTTTCATACCATCTGAGGCTACTTTTTGAGGGTCACTGTAATTTTAGGGAAATATTAGGGAAGTAAGGATATGATATATATAATAATAATAAATAGCATTTGTATAGCGCATATCCCCGCTCAACAGCAGGCTCTATGCGCTTTACACTATATTATTACCCCAGCAGACTATAGAACACTCCGAAACATTCTCAGCTTCCCGGGAAGCATACAGTGCAAGCAGCCGATTAAGCGCTCAAACACTAACAAACTGACAAGGTCTTTCACTGTCTATAGCTGGGTACCCATTCCCACCTGGGTGAAGTGAGGAAATTCGTGTAAAGTGCCTTTCCCAGGGACACAACGTCAGGCCCTTGACGAGATTCGAACCCACAACCTTACGGGTGCGAGTCTGAGATCCTAACTACTAGGCTACCGACGCCATATAAACACACACAGACGTAAAAGTATATATAGAAATGATTTGTTTTTACTGAATAATGTAGTCATTTCTGATCACTGACAGATGTTGGATATTATTGATCTGTGCTAATGATCATTGCCCATCACCCATGCTAGATCTGGTAGGAACAATGATATTCTTGGGTTCTTTTTTTTCCAGCAAAGATGACCCACGTGGCACCACCAGACTTGCCGTCTCTGATGTTGTTGGGCGGAGTCCTGGCACGTTGGACTGGTGGGCCCAATTGACCACACCCGTGGACGACTCGCTACAGTTTGGCACAAGCTTGCGGGACATCAAAGATGCGGAAACCGCCTGGCAAGAATGCTCAGAGGTGAGCACGTTACTTCTGCAGAATTTTATATCTATTTTCAGTTGATCCCTCGTAGAATTTTCCAGGTTTTGGGGGTTTTGTTTGTTTGTTTGTTTGTTTTTTTAAACGTTAGGATTTTAGTGTTTCGGAAAAAAAAAATTATTTTTTTTTGGACCAAGATTTACGTAGTTGTGAAATTGTTTTACATAGTTGTGAAATTGTTCTGTATTGATGTGATATTGTGTATTTAATAATGTATGTTATGTATTTACGATTATGCATTTATGTATGTATGTTTGCCATTGTAAACCTAATTGCCCTTCTGGGATCAATAAAAAATATAATTTATTATTATTTATTTTTATTTAGGGATTATTGATATAATATAATTTATTATTACTTATTTTCATTCAGGGATCAATATTAATATAATTTATTATTATTTATTTTTATTCAGCAATCAATATAAATATAATTTATTATTATTTATTTTTATTTGGGGATCAATATAAATATAATTCATTATTATTTATTTTTATTCAGGGATCATTGATATAAATATTATTTATTATTATTTATTTTTACTCAGAGATCAATATGAATATAATTTACTAGATCGATTATTTATTTTTATTCAGGGATCAATATAAATTTTTTAATTTTTTTTTTCAGGGATCATTGATATAAATATTATTTATTACGAATTATTTTTATTCAGGGATCATCGCTATATATAATTTATTATTTATTTTTCTTCCCTCAAATGTTGTCTCTGTCGCAGCTGGCTCTGCTGGAGAGGTTGTCCCACTTTGAGAGTCATGAGCGAAGTTTGGCCGGGCTCATACAGCAGAGGGAGCAGGAGATGCAGAAAAAACTGGCGCAGCAAGTGGAGGACAGGCAGAAGCTCATTGACAGAAAGCTGAGGGAAAAGTATGGGGTGTTTGGGTTGTTTTGTTTGTTTGCTCATTTTGTTTTGTTTTTTCTTATGTTTGCAGGCATTAGTTCTCCTATTCTCTGTTCAGTTTCCCCTTTTATGTTTTTGATTTACCTCCAAATTGTACAACTTAAAACTGCAGAGTGGGTGGTTGGCGGGTGCTCTGGTGTGGTTTGCTCCTTCTTTCCTAACAAACATCTATCGTCCTTATCTCCTCCCCTCCTTCTGTTTTGTTTTTTGTTGCTCTTTAATGTTCGACACTTATATAACCTTATTTTGTTGCAAGTGCCGTAAAACACTTACGAAAACTAAAAACAGCTGGAGGGAAAATAAAAGGATAGAGAAATCTCACTTTCAAACATGATTCGTTTTGAGGGTTATAAATAGTACCTTGTTGAATTGAAACCTTTAGTCTTCCAGGAGTGGATGACAAGTGGATTTATACGTCTGCATGATGGGTGTGCTCGGGTTGGAAAGATATCCTTTGTGGGTGTGTGGTTGGCGTGCTCCTTCTTTCCTATCAAACATCTATCGTCCTGACCTCCCCTCCGTCTTTTTTATGTTTGTTACTCTCTTGTAACACCTCTGATCTTCTGGCGATCATATGACCTTATGCAGTTGCGAGCGCCATAAAACCTCTGCTAAAACTATGTTGTTGTTTGTTGTTTTCAAATCCCTTTAGCTGCCAGCATTTCGCTCTTGGCAGCGCAGTGCTTCCCTCAAGTAACCACATGTCCTTGTCATCTGGTCAACGCCAGCGTAGAGCAGGCTTTGTAAGTCTGTAGGTGTGTGTAGGAGCTTGCGTCGAAGAACTGCCAGGTTTGGGCAGTGAAGGAGAAGATGTTCAACGGTTTCCTCGTGGTAGTCACAGTGTCTGCAATGGGGTTCCCACATGGGGTTGATTCTGTTTATGTGCTTGTTGGTGTGTAAGTGTCCTGTGCGGGCTCTGAAGATCAATGTCTGATCGGCTCTACATAAAAGATTCGAAGGGTCTTTGCTGCTAAAACTAAAAACTAAAGATATCCTTTCTGGGTCCTCACATGCCAATCTTTTGGCTTTTCAATGGGTCCGATTATTCTGGTGGTTTTGCTCCCTTTTCTGCACATCTCTGTAAACATAATTATATATCTGTGAGGCAACGTGGTGGAATCAGGCTCTCGTCAAAATAATCAAAGTGAAGAAACTTGCATTTTTCCGCAGGTTTGTGAATTTTTATCAAATTTTTGTTTTTTTGGCTCAACGCCTTTCATGGCCATTAAAGAACTCATTCCTGTGTGGATTTTTACTGAAAAGCCTTGATTAAGGGCACAAAAATGAAAATGTTCAGTTACCACGGACTCTAAAGCTTAGGAAATAACTAATCCTTGGCGGCCATTTTCTCACTAATTTTACCTCTGAAAACAGGTGACCCCCACCTCCTCCTTTCGCAAATATCTCAACTTGTATTTAAGATAAATGGATATTTTTTTCCTCCAAATAAAGACAAGTGAACAAGCTTTAAAATGATACCAATAACTCTACATGCCCAAAAATTGACGAGAGCCTGATTCCACCACGCTGTCTCACGTATATATTATATTATTATGCGTATTTTGGGGGAGGGGTTTTTGTTGTTTGTTTGTTTTGTTGTTTGCGCACGCCAGTTCTGACAGCACTTTTTAACTTTTTGTCCTAATTTTGTGCAGGGTGCAAGAGACACAGAAAGTTTTGCAGAAACAGAAAGCAGATCACGAGGAACATCAAATGGTGAGTTGTCTTAGGATTGAGTGGGACTATGTGGTATGTGTGTTGAGCTATGAGACTGTCATATGTGGGGCGGAGCTGGGCTAAGAATCGATTCCCGAACCGATTCCCACGATTAATGCTACGGAAGAAAGGTTCCGACTCCTTTTTACGTAAACCAACGGTTGCCAGTTACTTTAATCATTAAAATCTTCTTTTTTGAAATTAGAATTTATTTTTGAAAATAAAAGAGCTGTTCAGAGCCAATTAGGTAGCCACCGGAAGAGATCACATCATTAGAAAGTAAGTTATTGGGTTCGCAGTCGATTCCTACGATTCCTAGCTTTCAATAATCGGGAACCTCCTAGCTGTCCAGCACTAGTGTGGGGTGTGTTTGGGTCTGGCTTGCGCTCAGTTTGCTGTGGGATCCTGCTATGCCTTTTCTTTCTCCCTATTCCCCCCCCCCCTCTCTCTCTCTCCCTCTCTCTCTCTTTCTCTCTCTCTCTCTCCCTACTTTCCTTTTCTCTCTCTCTTTCTCCTCTCTCACTTCTCTCCCTTTTCCCCTCCCTCCCAACCCCGTCTCTCTCTCTCTCTCTCTCTCTCTCTCTCTCTCTCTCTCTCTCTCTCTCTCTCTCTCTCTCTCTCTCTCTCTCTCTCTCCCTCCCTCACCCCCCTCCTTCTCACACAGCGGACCATGTCACAAGTAATTAATCGTGTGGTTCTTCCTCAGAAAATAGTCACCAAGAACAGAGAGATAGAACGTCAGAGGCAAAAGCTGGAGGAGGAGGAGCGAGCCAGGTGAGACCACAGTAACTAACTCTTTAAACCCTGACTTTTTCCCACCGTTTCCCAGAGTTTTTTCTACGTCACCTAAACCTGGCGCACTATGTCTCGTTATAACCCCAGAAGCTTGCCTCTAACTTCTAAATGGTGGAAACAAAGGCTTAGTCATTAAACAACTTGGATGGGGAATAGTTCCGAAAAACGAGCAAAAACTAGCACCAAAGAAATGAAACAGTTGTCACTAGTACTGGACGCTCCCAGCATCCAATGGGGAACAGGGTTATTACCGCCGGAGGCTCGCAGTGTCCAATGGGGTTGAAAGAGTTAAGTCATTTTTATTCTCCGCACCCCGTGCTCTGTACACCGCTTCAGTGGGTGGTTGGCATGTGCTCTGGTGTGGTTTGCGCCTTCTTTCCTATCAAACATTTATCGTCCTGATCTCTCCTCCTTCTTTTTTGTGTTTGTTACTCTCTTGTGACACCTCTAATCTGCTGTACTTGTATGACCTTATTGTGTTGCAAGTGTAGTAAAACTGTTTCAAAAAAATACCTTGGTCGTGCAAACGGAAACATAGAAAGGAACCTGATGACAACTGTGCTACAATGCAAAAATGGAAGCAAAGGGAAATAAAGGAAGATCTCAGACATCATGCCTGGAGAAATGGGAGGCAGCGTGGTGAAATCAGACGCTCCTCAAAATAATCAAAGTTTAGAAATTGGCATTTTTCTGTAGATTTGTGAATTTTAATCGAATTTTTTTTTTTTTTAGCTCAACACCTTTCATGCCCATTAAAGAACACATTTCCGTGTGGATTTTACTGAAAAACGTTGATTAGAAGCCCAAAAATTAATGTAATTTTCAGTTTCCATGGACTTTCAATCTAAGGAAATAACTAATCTTTGTCACCCGTTTCCTAACTAATTTTACATCTGAAACCAGGTGACCCCCACGTCCTTCACTCGCAAATATTACGACTTGTATTCAAGACTAGCTGGGCCCCCTTTCGATGAAAGGAATGATCAATTGAAAGTCATTGGCCTACTATATTTACACTCTTCTGGAATGGAGCAATAAATCTTTAGAGAAAAGTGACACCTGTCATGTGTTTTCAAATTGCCAAATATATTTATAATAGATTATAGATTGATTCTCTATTCCGCCTTAGTGGTTGTGCACTCCGGAATTTCAAAGGTGTGGAACCAGTGCGCTCGGCTAGTGAACGGGAACCTCACTTGTTTACAATGGTGTCTTAGAAGACAGACTTTTATGGACGAAACAAAGCATTTTGGAAAAATCGGGGAAAGCAGTTTGCGTGGATTTGTTAAAGTTAGGTCCTAGCCACATGGATGCTGTGGACGTCTGCAAAGTTTCAAAGGTGTGGGTTAGGCAATAAGGGAGGGGTTTGTGCACAAAGCCTTCCAAGTCCACTTTTATAGATATAGATAAATGGATGGGTTTTTTTTCATCCTAAACAAAATAAATGAACAAGCTTTAAGATGATACCAATAACTCTGCTTGGTCTCTGTTGACACCCACCCCTTGGCGCTCATGTGACCTTATGCAGTTGCGAGCGCCGTAAAACCTCTACTGATACCAAACTTTTTCTTTTCCTCCCTCTCACAGACAAGCTTTACAAAAGGAGAAACAGCAGACTCTGCGCTCAATTCTTCAAGAAGTTGATGAGAACAGACGCAAGTTCAACGAGATACTGGAAGCTTGCCCCCACAAAGATCAGTTGGATGAAGTCGTGGGCAAGTTTAAACTAGTCCTGGACAGATTTGGCTCCAAGTCAGACCTGCAGGTAACTGCTTCAAAGATATGCCGCTTAGCTGTCGATTTGATTATTTCATCAACAGTAGGCCTTACGAATTACTGATTAACCCTTCATGAGGCGATTTAATTTGCCGCTCTGTCCGGTCCCACAGAGGTGAATTAATTTGAGGACTTCATGAAATGTTTAAGGCCATCTGCTGGTGGAATTTCTGAAATCCATATCCCTGGACTATATATAACAACGATGACATATTCATATTAGTCAGACATCAAAGAATAAACTCAAGTAATTTTTAATTGTTATAAGCACATGGTAACCAAGCAAACATCCACCATATTGGATAATTTCATCAAATTTCAAAGGCTATCTTCTTTCTTAGTTTTTGTCCGTTGGCTTTCATTTTTAGTAAGTACAAACTGCAACACCTATGTAATGAACAAATAACGCCAGATTTGTAATATTACAATTATGAAAATAATTATGGACTCTGGAAATATGTTCATGGATAAATAGCAAAAAAAATCTCAGAATTCCCAACAAAAACACTGATAGTAATCTTATTCTTTCATTATCTTGAAAAAGGGCTCTATTTCAGTACAGGTCTCCCATGGATGGACAATGTGTAAAATAATGAAGCTATTCAGATAAAAAATAATGGAGAAGATGTAATTTATAGTCGGAAAAATAAATATTTGGAAAAAAAATATTTAAAAACATGACCCAAAATTGCAACAACAAAATTTTAAACCCCTCTTTAAAAGACTTCAAAACATAATTGATTGAAGCGGACGCTGGAAAAGGATGTAGATTTAAAAAATGGAGGGGAAAACTGTATGGTCAAACTGGGGGAAAATGGGGGGAAATCCGACCCGCAGATGGCCTTAAATAACTTCCATAGATTTTTAAAGGCAGAAAAGATCTTGTCAGTTTGATAGTGTTAGAGCGCGTGAAATCCGCAGCTTGCACTGTATGCTTCCGCGTATACTGCACATTTATACTTTTGTGCCTTTAATCAACTTTTTCCCCGAAAATCCACATGTAAACGTGTTTATTAATTGACATACAAGGTGTTGAAACAAAAAACAAAAATTCAGAGAAAAAAAATGTCCAAACTGGCCGAAAAATGCAGGGTTCTCGGATTTCATGATTTCATGCCTTACAAAGTTTCTTCTGCATCTGTGTAGACGAACGCCCCCCTCGATGATGTCATCAGCAAGTTTGAAGACCAGAGGCTAAAGAGTCACAAGGCTGTGGAGTTCCTGAAAGCAAAGATTGGTATGTACCCCTGGTGGGTGGTTTGCTTCTGTGGTTGGCGGGTGCTCTGGTGTGGTTTGCTCCGTCTTTCCTATGAAACATCTATCGTCCTTATCTCCCCTTCTTCTTTTTTTATGTTTGTTACTCTCTTGTAACACCTCTAATCTTCTGGCACTCATATGACCTTATGCAGTTGCGAGCGCCATAAAACCTCTACTAAAACAAAACAATGTACCCCTGACTCGTCTTGTTCTTTTTTTAAATTTCATATATATGAAGCAGAACTGCCACTTTTGTTATTGTGTCGTATTAATTTGTCCGCATTGTTTTATGCAAGAAAAACTATGAAATTATGCAAACTGAACCCAAAATTGTGAAATTATGCAATCCTGTTAATTTTAACAAAGAATGATAACGGAAGATAATCAGAAGGGGGGACATTTCTCGTTCATGCACAGTAGAATTGTAAATGGGCTGATTCATCATGTCATGCTCATAACTGTGCCTGATCTACAACAGGGAACTGCTTCTTTTTCTTTCCGTATCCTTACTATTGTCATTTCCCTCTACTTCTTTTGTATGTTTGTCACACTCTTGTGACCCGCTATTTCCGGGGTGCCTTGATAGTCGAAGCAGACTTTGTGCTGTTGAAGCTAGAGAGGTGAGCAGAGTAAGTCTGATTCCCTGTAAAGACTTCTCTGTTGACACCCACCCCTTGGCGCTCATATGACCTTTTGCAGTTGCGAGCGCCGTAAAACCCTCTACTATAATAATAATAAACACTTATCAAACCAATTTCTTGTCTTTTGTCTCCCTTGATCAGCTGAGGCAGATGCTAGATCCCAGCAAGAAGCACAGAAGAAGAAAGAAGAAGAAGAAGCGAAAGCAAAGGAGGAGAAAAGGAAGGCAGAGGTGAGAGCAGATAAGATACAATCTATAACGCTTCATGGATGGGAGAGCAGCGATAAATTGCTGAAGATTCATTCGCCGTAAAGTTGGGGTTGTGGTGCTAGTTTTTTAGAATCATGTCAGTCGATGTGTAACGTGTAGATTATCTTGTCCTTCCTGTTGTATCACTATGACACAGATTGTTACTGGATGGTTGGCGGGTGCTCTGGTGTGGTTTGCTGCTCCTTCTTCTTTCCTATTAAACATCTATCGTCCTTATCTCCCCTTTTGCTTTTTTATGTTTGTTACTCTCTTGTAACACCTCTAATCTTCTGGCGCTCATATGACCTTATGCAGTTGCGAGCGCCGTAAAACCTCTACCAAAACTGAAACAGATTGTTATTTCATAAAACTCTTAGCTGCCAGCATTGATTTCACGGATTTTCCTGAGCAGCCAGTTAGATTCCGCTGTCATTTGGAATTCGTGAAAGTTGTGAGGTAGTTTTTAGTATCATGTCCTTCGATGTGTCGATTATCTTGTCCCTTCCAGTATTATCACTATGACGCAGATTGTTACTTTATAAAACTCTTATCTGCCTGCATTGATTTCACGGATTTTCCTGAACAGCCAGGGTTAGATACCATGTCCGCCGTCTTTTGGAATTTAGATATCTATCTCATTCGCCATGCCAAAAAATTAACCATCGGCAATTTGGCGAAGCGGATAGTGAGACTGAATGCAGAAAACAGGTGTGTTGTCGCATGATTTGATTAGCAATGTTTATTGGAAAGTGAGTCAAATTCTCGATCCAAAATTTTCTGTGGTACTACGCCTTGCTACTCAAAAAATAATGATATGCCTTCAGGTTTCAAATTCTCGCAACGAAAAGAACTATAATCATGCTCAATTTTAACTTGACGTGTACTGTAAATATGGATTTGGAGGACTAGACAAGGTGTGTATTTAATTTGGGGATGTGAAGACGACACACTCTGTGTTGTTCTGGTGAAAGGGGGGAATGGTAGATGGCAGTGAGTCTTGTGATTTGCTCCTTCTTTCCTATCAAACGTCTGTCGTCTTTATCTCCCCTCCTTCTTTTTTTTGTTTGTTACTCTCTTGTAACACCTCTAATCTTCAGCACTTATATGACCTTATTGTGCTGCAAATGCCGTAAAACACTAACTAAAACTAAAGGCCGATGAGAGTTAAATAATGCCGACATTTTCCTTTTTCGACAGACCAAGAAGCTGGAAGAGCAGGCTGCTGAAGACTGTGGTGGTAAGTGATTGTGTGTGTGTCTTCTTCTTCCTTGTCCATCTATTCTTTCTTTCTCTCTATCGTGTTATCTTTTCTCAACCCCGCCATCAAGGAAATTGTTAATAATCCCTCCCATCCCGACTTTGCCCACTGACAGAAATATGCAATGTTTGGACCATGATAAGAGATATGTGCACAACCTGTACTTTTTCATTTATGGAAACTTTATTTAACAAATGAGTGTTTTATATGATGTGATTGGATATGGGTCAATGGCCTTAAAACCGAATAAACTTACTTATTTTCTTACTTACTTACTCTCTCACTCACTCACTTACTTACTCACTCACTCACTCACTTACTTACTTAGTTACGTACTTACCTACTTACTTGCTTGCTTGCTTGCTTGCTTGTTTGCTTACTTACTTACTTACTTACTTACTTACTTACTTACTCAACCTGCAATCATTATCGTGCCAAATGTGCTTTTATTCAACTTGCTTAAAATCATACTGAGGCCAATTTTACGATGTTATTTTGTTTCCTGGGCAATTGGTGAATCCTGCCATAAAAGCGAATTGCTTATCTGTTTTCTGCTGTTGTCTGAGCTTTTTATGCCAGTACACATCGTCATTGTTTTTTATTCATTAGATGTGGGTGGTTGGCAGGTGCTCTGGTGTGGTTTGCTCCTTCTTTCCTATCAAACATCTATCATCCTGATCTCTCCTCCTTTTATGTGTTTGTTACTCTCTTGTAACACCTCTAATCTTCGGCACTTATGTGACCTTATTGTGTTGCAAGTGCCGTAAAACTCTTTCTAAAACTAATCTATCTCGTTTTGTTTATTGGTTTCTTTTGTGTCATAGTCTTAATTTATGCTTATCATGCATGTGTCATATATATATTATTTTTTTTTCTTCTCTTGCCTCTCTTTTATTTTAAATCGTTTTCTCATGGTTTTCATCTGTCCCTCTCCACAGTGCAAGCCCTGGCGTACATCCTCAGAGAGTTTGCCGCCAAACACAAGAAGCTGTCGGAAGTGCAGTCGGGGCTGCAGGCTTTCATTGACAACGCTCAGGTGAGGCAGACGTCTACCCGAATGTGGGTGGTTGGTGGGTGCTCTGGTGTGGTTTGCTTCTTCTTTCCCATCAGACATCTGTCGTCTTTGTCTCCCCTCCTTCTTTTTTTGTGTTTGTTACTCTCTTGTAATACCTCTAATCTTGTGGCGCTCATGACCTTATGCAGTAGCGAGGCCGTAAAACCTCTACTAAAAAATATCTCCCCTCCTTCTCTTTTATGTCTGTTACTCTCTACAACTCTTGTAACACCTCTAATCTTCGGCAGTTATATGACCTTATTGTGTTGCAAGTGCCGTAAAACACTTACTACTAAAAATTATACCGAAGGTTTTACTTCTGGGATTCCCATTTTGTGGATTTCAAAGTGTTTTGTCAAACTGACTCGGAGGACCTGTGTGCAGGTTGTGCACGTTAAAGATTCCTTGGTGGTCCAAAATCGATAAGAGTAGACTTTTGCTGCTGAACAGGCAAAATTCAACCTCTCTGTAAGGACTTCTCTGTTGACATCCACCCCTTGGCGCTCATGCCCTCATGCAGTTGCGAGCGCTGTAAAACCTCTGCTAAGACTAAAACTAAATGTTTCTATACATATATGCTCTCTCTCTCTCCAGTTGAAGAAACAATGTTTCTATACATATGCACTCACTCTCTCTCTCTCTCTCTCTCTCTCTCTCTCTCTCTCTCTCTCTCTCTCTCTCTCTCTCTCTCTCTCTCTCTCTCTCTCTCTCTCTCTCTCTCTCTCTCTCTCTCTCTCTCTCTCTCCTGTTGAAGAAGCAATGCTTCTATACATATATTCTCTCTCTCTCTCTCTCCAGTTGAAGAAGCAATGTTTCTATACATATGCGCGCTCTCTCTCTCTCTCTCTCTCTCTCTCTCTCCAGTTGAAGAAGCAATGTTTCTATACTTGTATGCACTCTCTCTCTCTCCAGTTGAAGAAGCAATGTTTCTATATATATATATGCACGTGGGTGGTTGGCGGATGCTCTGGATGAAACATCTATTGTCGTTATCTCCCCTTCTTTTTTGTGTTTGTTACTCTCTTGTAACACCTCTAATTTTCTGGTGCTCATATGACCTTATTGTGTTGCAAGTGCCGTAAAACTCTTACTGAAACTATAAAAACTAATATATGCACTCTCTCTCTCTCTCTCTCTCTCTCTCTCTCTGCAGCTGAAGAAACAGCGGTTTGACCTCCAGCGCGCTGTGAACACGCCCATCAACGCCATTTCTGCGCTGAGCGGCGCCCACCTGCGCGACAAGCTGCAGCGTCTGCACGACCTTTTGGGAGGCCGGCCGGTGGAGGTCTCGGGCAAGCGTGTGCAGGCGACGGTCGTGGCTGAGGGCCCGATGTTCTGTCAGAACCTGGTGGCGAAGATGTTGGTGGTGAGTGGGGGGGGGTGGTGGAGTGAAGACGGGAGGTGGGGGAGATGGAGAGAGTGGAGGTGGGGGAGTGATGGGAGAGAAGGATTGAGTGAGGGGCCTCTGTTTTGTCAGAACCTGGTGGCTAAGATGCTGGTGGTGAGTGAGGGGGGGGGGGGGGGGATTGAGGACAAGAGGTGGGGGGGGATTGGAGAGAAGGATTGAGTGAGGGGAGGTGAGAGATTGGGGGAGTGAGGGGCCACTGTTTTGGAGAGATGGAGAGAGGGGAGGTGAGAGATTGAGTGAGTGAAGGTGGGGAAGAGATGGGAGAAAAGGATTGAGTGAGGGGGGAGGTGGAGGAGACGTCAAGCGAGTGAGGCTATGGCTGTGGCTGAGGGGCCTCTGTTCTCAGACTGTTCTGTAAGTACCTGGTGACTAAGATGCTGATGATGAGTGAGGGGGGGGGGATGGAGTCTCCTTCCCTTCTATCGTCCTTATTTCTCTTCTGTTTTTTTTTGTTGTGTTTGTTACTTTACCGAATTAGGCTCTTGTAACACCTCTAATCTTCAGCACTTATAGGCGTCGGTGGCCTAGTGGTTAGGCTCTCGGACTCGCAACCGTAAGGTCGTGGGTTCGAATCCCTTCAGGGTCCCGACGTTGTGTCCTTGGGGAAGGCACTTTGCACAAATTTTCCTCACTTCACCCAGGTGAAAATGGGTACCCGGCTATAGACCGTGAAAGATCTTGTCAGTTTGATAGTGTTTGAGCGCGTGAAATCCGCAGCTTGCACTGTATGCTTCCGCGGAAGCTGAGAATATTTCTGAGTGTTCTCAGAGGGTCTGCTGGGGTATTGATAGTTGTAAAGCGCATAGAGCAAGCTCTTGAGCCTGGATATGCGCTATATAAATGCAATTATTATTATATATGACCTTATTGTGTTGCAAGTGCCGTAAAACACTTACAAAAACTAATACTTAAAAACATCCATATTCCTTATTTCTCTTCTGGGTTTTTTTGTGTTTGTTTTCTACTCTTCTACCTCATTACGCTCTAATCTTCGGCATTTATACGACTTAATTGTATGTCGCGAATGCCGTAAAATTCGCGAAAACTAACGAGCCGTGCCGTCGATTGTCCCCAGCGCAAGGGAGAGGAGCAGGTGACATCCAAGCACGAGTCGGCGTTCGCCATCGGCGCGGTGGCGGTGGCTCTGTGGGCCGAGTTCCCGCTGGTGGGAGAGCTGTTCATGGCCCACCTGCACGCCGTGTGCCCGTACGTGCTGCCGCTCTACGCAGTGCGCCAGGGAGGACAGTCCAGCGCAGACTTCCACAGGTACATGCAGACGTTGGTCTTCTTCGGTTTTTTATAAATCTTTTACTCCAGTGGTTAAGTGAGTAGTGAGTTCAGACTCAAGTAAGTGGGTGGTTGCCGGGTGCTCTGGTGTGGTTTGCTTCTTCTTTCCTATCAAACATCTATCGTCCTTATCTCCCCCTTCTTCTTTTTTATGTTTGTTACTCTATTGTGACACCTCTGATCTTCTGGCGCTCATATGACCTTATGCAGTTGCGAGCGCCGTAAAACCTCTACTAAAACTAAAAGCTAAAAAATCTTTTACTCCAGTGGCTAAGTGAGTAGTGGGTTCAGACTCAAGAAATCTCAAGCAAGTGTCGGTGACACGGGGTTTAGATGCGTGGTCACTAGGGTGTGTCCTTGAGCAAGGCACGACAACCCTAGCCCAAAATACTGTTTATCCTATCAAACTTCTATCGTCTTTATCTCCCCTCCTTCTTTTTTGTGTTTGTTACTCTCTTTTAACACCTCTAGTCTTCGACACTCATATGACCTTATTGTGTTGCAAGTGCTGTAAAACTCTTACAAAAACTAAACTGAAACTAAAAGGTGGGGGGAGACGGGTGGTCGTCCGGGGTTTGGAAGCAAATCGGGGCATGAAGCTCAGTGAGTTAGTTAGTGGGTCTCGATCCTAAAACGGAAAACATTTTTTTGTTGCAGCAAAATGACCTACAATATATCTATCCAGCTGCCGAAGAAAGGCATGCTAGCATCTCCGAGACTAAAAAGTTATGAAATTTTTAAATGTGGACCGCATCTCGAGTCTCGATGATGTGTATGCCCGCAGTGAGTTGACTGAGCTATCATAAAACAGAAAACAATTTTTTAATGCGGCGAAACGACTTATAAAGAACGAACCAGTCGTCACTGAAGGCATGCTAAGATCTCGTAGAATGAATGATTATGAGTGGGTGGTTGGCGGGTGCTCTGGTGTGGTTTGCTCCTTCTTTCTTATATCAAACATCTATCGTCTCTATCTCTCCTCCTTTGTTTTTTGTGTTTGTTACTCTGTTGTAACACCTCTAATCTTCGGCACTTATATGACCTTATTGTGTTGCAAGTGCCGTAAAACTCTTACTAAATCTAAAACACCTCTAATCTTCGGCGCTTATATGACCTTATCGTGTTGCAAGTGCCGTAAAACACGTACTAAAACTAAACTAATGATTGCTTTTTTTTTTTTTATTTGCCGCCCGCGTCTTAAAATCGTTGACTCCATGTTGTGTGTACACCCACAGAGCTCAAGGTTACAAGATCGCGGACGACGGGAGCATCGAAGACCAGGACAAGTTCCTGCGCCGGATGTCGGGCCTCATGCGGCTCTACTGTGCCTGTTTGGTGGCCCCCGTCCCGCCAAAGGGGCCTAACTGCCCGCACCCGCAGGGCCTGGAGCACGCCTGGCGCTGGCTGGCCCGCGTCCTCGACCTTGAACCCCAACCCGACGTGACGGCGGCCTTGATCCACGACATGCTGTCGGTGGCGGGCCACGCCCTGTGCGCCGAGTACCGCGGCCAGTTTGCCAAGCTGCTGCGCCTCCTGCACGCCCAGTACCTCCCCAAGCTGAAGAGCGTCTCGGTGACCAGCGCCATCGTGGGACGGCTGGAGATCTTCCTCGAGACTGCGGTGAAGAACAACTGCCGCATACCTCCGCCTGAGGGGATCCTGCCGCAGAACTTTTGGTTTAGGTGATGATGAAATTTTGTGGCATAGGGGGTTCCGTTCCCTCCCTCCCTCCCTCCTAAGGAAGGACTTGAGTGTTGCAGTTCCGGGGAAGAATATCTCACGCTGTCTTAGGGGGCTTCTAGAATGTCTGGTATGGGTGATGAGTAAGTGCGAAATACGGTACCCCCCACTAAAGGACTTCTGGCTCAGAGTGTTTTTGGTAGGGGGGGGGGGGGGAAGAGAATATGTACGAAGTATGGTATCGATACCTCCCCCCCCACCCCCACCAATCATCACCACTGCAGGTTAATCATCAAAATCATCAACACTTTGCCACCTCATCTTGCTGATTGGAGATGTTTACCACTCAAGTTTCTTTGGATTTTCCCCTAAATATGACGGCAGAGTGTTTATCATCACCACTGCAGGTTAGTCATCACCACTGCAGGTTAAGTTACAGCGAAGAACCACTCTGCTGAACGAACACCTTTTTCCTCCACGTAAGGAACTTGTAGCCACTCTGAAATGTGTGGCTGTGTGTGAAAGATGTCAGTTACAGTCCGTGACTCCGCCACGCGCTGGGCACGGTATCCCCGAGTGTTGTGAACAGCCATGACACCACGTACCTCAGTAGTACAGGGTCCCAGGTCTGATCTGGCCACGGGTGGGGGAAGTGGCCTGTTTAGACTTAATTCATCACTGTCATCGTCGTCACTATCATCATCAACATCGTTGTTAATTTCATCTGTATTGTCATTTTCTTTCTTTTCATCAAAAATTGTCGTAATGATCACTGTATTCTGTTGGTCTTTGATGTAGCATGGGCTGAAGCACTGCTTGTTTTGAAGGAAGTGGTGTCTGTTACGGAAGTTTTCCTTTTTTGACAACCTTTAGGCATAAGAAGTTGCATAAGAGATCGGTGTAGTCTGGTCTTTGTGTTCTACGGCTAGGTTCTTTTTTTTTTTTTTTTTTTGCGTTCAAATTACTTTGGGGGGGGGAGGGGAGTGTGTAAGCTCAGTTTGTCGGGAATGCCTGCAGTGCTTGAGGAAAAAGTGACGTGTTTTAAATTTTTCATTTTCTGATGACTGGTCTGTGCATTTTGTAAATAGAGAGTTGGTCGCTTTTAAGGACAAGCGGGCTGACCCAGATTTTGTGGGTTTCCAGAAATCTTGATCTATACCAAGAGTTGGGGGGAATTGCCCTACCTATAGAAGTTTGGTTTCACTGGTGTATATTTGTTTGGTTCTAGAGAAAACTGTCCTTGAATTTTAATGAAGCTGAAAAAGGGTCTAAAAACTACCTTCGATTTTCTCAAAACAGCATTTTTCGGGATAGCCCCCTTGAGCCTAAAAGCGGCCGGTTTATGTTTTATGATCATAGTGTTGTAACCTCACAGGTGTCCTTTGTTGTAACATTTCTCACTCAATTTCAGCAACACTTTTACAATAGATGCTTCCAAAATTTTGTTCTACAGAAGACAAACAACATATGTGAGGCAGCGTGGTGGAATCAGGCTCTCGTCAAAATAATCAAAGTTGAAGAAACTTTTTTTCTTTTGGTTTGTGAATTTTTATCAAATTTTTGTTTTTTGGCTCAACACCTTTCATGTCCATAAAAGAACTCATTTTTGTGTGGATTTTTCCGAAAAGCGTTGATTAAAGGCACAAAAACGTACATTTTCAGTTACCACGAACTCTTAAGATAAGGAAATAACTAATCTTTGGCGACCATTTTCTCACTAATTTTACCTCTGAAAACAGGTGACCCCCCCACCTCCTTCTTTCGCAAATATCAGGACTTGTATTCAAGATAAATGGATATTTTTTTCATCCAAATAAAGACAAGTGAATAAGCTTTAAGATGATACCCATTACTCCACATGCCCAAAAATTGACGAGAGCCTGATTCCACCACACTGCCTCACATATGGTCGCTTTTAAAGACAAGCGGGTTGACCCAGATTTCGGGGGGATTCCAGAAATCTTAACCTACACCAAAAGTGGACATTGCCCTGCCTATAGGAGAAGTTTGGTTTCATTGGTGTGTATATTTGTTTGGTTATAGAGAAAACTCCTTGTCTTTTAAAGAAATTGAACAAGGGGCAAAAACTTTACCTTCAATTTTCTCAAAACAGTATGTTTCGGGATAGCCCCCTTGTGCTTAAAAGCCTAATATGATTAGGACTGTGTACAAGTGTTCACTTTGTATGAATGTATCATGTATGTGATTGCATTTTCAAGTATTGATTTATAGAAATGTTACGTTTTTTTGAAGTGTAAAGAGCCAAATTGGCATGGCCACCATGTAATGTAATATAAATGAACTGAACTATCAGTCCACCTTTTTTTTTCATATTAAACGACATTTTGTGAACAGAAAAGAATTTGTTTTGTTTGCTCACATTCACGTCCTTCCTTCAGGGTTAGTTTGAGCTGAGCTTGATTGGTAACGATATTGGTGTGTGTCCGTCTCTTTGGAGTCTTCTTTTGCTGTTGGTGCTAGCTCTGTGCTCACCTCTGCGACTGACTGATCGAAGTTCATACTTAAAAGTAAGGTATCGAATAAGCACACCCCCCCCCCCCCCCTGCTTATTAATTTCCAGATTTTTTGGCCCCCCCGTTTATTATTTTCCAGCTTGCCATAACCGACGATCATGTGAAACGTATCTAGAATCTAGATATAGTGAATGAAACTTCTTTTTTTTAAAATAAATGGCAAATTTCCCTCAGTATTAATACCGGTACCGAGTTGGCTACCTCAATTTGCTGTGCATTTAAAAAACTTTTGCAGATATTCGTTTATAATTTTTTATGAAATTGGTTTCTTCCTAAATGGGAAAAGCTGTCATAGTAACTTATTAAAATCACACAAATTTCATGATCTCTTGTTCTTTTATTAACTGAAGGAGACCTAAAACAGATTGGTTCCTAATAACACAGGGGCATGAGGTTGAATGCGCCACATCCCACCCCCGGTTTAATAATATGTGAAGCGAGCTGACAAAATGAGTTACTTCTCGGATTTTATCCTGGAAATAAATCATCACGCTTATAGGTGAAGTTTTTACAATTTATAAGTCATCAATGATTTATTTATAGAGGCATCAGCCATCCATGTCCAGGTGCTGTTTTAGCCTCACAATTTATAAGTATGAAATAAGAAAAGGCATTTTGTACTTTAAGATTGCGGCATCAATAGAAAAATCTACAAATTTCACCCTAGTGTCGACTTTTGGCCAATATCTCTGTTTGAAGATTGTGAGAAGGAACTCGTTTTGTCAGCTCGCCTCACATATTAATTTTCGACCACTTGTCCCCCCCCCCCCCCCCTCTTTATTCGATACCTCAGAGCATTGCTCTATTGACTCTCAACTGACTTGTGGTTCTATTGACTCTCAACTGACTTGTGGTTCTATTGACTCTCAACTGACTTGTGGTTCTGTTGACTCTCAACTGACTTGTGGTTCTATTGACTCTCAACTGACTTGTGGTTCTATTGACTCTCAACTGACTTGTGGTTCTATTGACTCTCAACTGACTTGTGGTTCTATTGACTCTCAACTGACTTGTGGTTCTATTGACTCTCAACTGACTTGTGGTTCTATTGACTCTCAACTGACTTGTGGTTCTATTGACTCTCAACTAACTTGTGGTTCTATTGACTCTCAACTAACTTGTGGTTGTGTGCCCCACTGTGGTTGACACATTCTTTTTTTTTCCCAATGTTCGAATTGTCCTCGCCTGTTCCACGGATGTGGGTGGTTGGCGGGTGCTCTGGTGTGGTTTGCTTCTTCTTTCCTATCAAACATCTATCGTCCTTGTCTCCCCTTCTTTTTTATGTTTGTTACTCTCTTGTAACACCTCTAATCTTCTGGCGCTCATATGACCTTATGCAGTTGCGAGCGCCGAAAAACCCTATACTAAAACTAAACTAAAACTGTTCCACGGGTGGTCGGAGGGTGCCCCTGGTAGGACTGCGGGTGGTTGGAGGGTGCCCCTGGTAGGACCGTGGGTGGTTGGAAGGTGTTCCTGGTAGGACCTACTTCTTTACTTTCCCTTTATTGTTTGTGTCAGTCTGTATGTCTTACTTTTTCCTCGTGGGTGGTTGGCGGGAGCTCTGGTATTTTTTGCTCCTTCTTTCCCATCAAACATCTATCGTCCTTATCTCCCCTTCTTCTTTTTAATGTTTGTTACTCTCTTGTAACACCTCTAATCTTCGGCACTTATATGCCCTCATTGTGTTGCAAGTGCCGTCAAACTCTTACTAAAACGAGGTAGAGACCTAAGTAACTTTGAATATCTGCACAAGACAAACGTTCTAAAAAAGGCGGAAATAATGCTCAGTGACCATAGCCACCCACTGACATCGGAATTTCAACTATCGACCCGCAGTAAACGATACATTTCCAAAAAAGCAAGAACAGACAGATATAGAAATTCATTCGTACCAACTGCAGTGAGGTTACTGAACACACAGTGCTACAAATGAAACAGAGAGAGAGAGGAAGAGAGAAAGAGAGAGAGAATGAATGTGTTACGGAGCGGGTTGTCCCAGCCCGTGAGACATGTATTTACTTGGCCTAATGTCCTGTCTTGTTGTGCGTTTGCGTGAGTGCTCCTTTAAGTCTAACTTTTGTAATGTCAACTGCCATTGTTAACGACCAAGACAAATTTCTCCCTGCGAGATGAATAAAGATTGTCATTGTCATTGTCAACTTTTTCCTCTCCACTAAATGACGATTCTTGTATTGATGAGCTTCTCTGCTATTATAAACAAAAAAAATCATCTGCGAGACAGCATGGTGAAATCAGGCACTTGTCAAAATTCAAAGTGAAGAAACTGGTATTTTCCTGAAGGTTTGTGAATTTTTATCGAATTTTCGTTTTTTGGCTCAACCCCTTCCATGCCCATTAAAGAACATGTTTCTGTGAGGATTTTACGGAAAAACTTTGATTAAATGCGTTTTCAGTTTTCACAGACTCTCAAGCTAAGGAAGTAACTCATCTCTTTGGTGGCCATTTTCTCACTCATTTTACCTCTAAAACCAGGTGACCCCCACCTCCTTCATTCGCAAATATCTGGACTTCTGTTCAAGATAAAATGGACATTTTTTTTCATCCAAAGCAAGATAAATAAACAGATGATACCAATAACACTACAAGCCTAAAAATTGACGAGCGCCTGATTACACTGTTTCATGACACATCTGTTCCTGGCAGTTAGACATATGACATGGAAAGATTTACACCAGACACAACAAATTTAGAACATTCACAAGAACCATTTAAAGAACATTCACAAGAGAACTATTTAAAGAACATTCACAAGTCGAGAACCATTTAAAGAACATTCACAAGAGCCATTTAAAGAACATTCACAAGAACCATTTAAAGAACATTCACAAGAACCATTTAAAGAACATTCACAAGAACCATTTAAAGAACATTCACAAGAACCATTTAAAGAACATTCACAAGAACCATTTAAAGAACATTCACAGAACCGTTTAATGAACATTCACAAGAACCATTTAAAGAACATTCACAAGAACCATTTGAAGAACATTCACAAGAACCGTTTAATGAACATTCACAAGAACCATTTAAAGAATATTCACAAGAACCATTTAAAGAACATTCACAAGAACCGTTTAATGAACATTCACAAGAACCATTTAAAGAACATTCACAAGAACCGTTTAAAGAACATTCACAAGAACCATTTAATGAACCTTCACAACCACAGCGGGCATACTGTACACACACACACACACACACACACACACACACACACACATCATCATATCCCTGACACATTCTTTGACATCAACCTCACCCTCGCACTCTCCCAATCCCATCCCCCATCCCAATCCCATCCCCTATCCCATCCCAGATCTTCCAACTGTCAATGCCTCATGTAGTAGTCAATGGCCGTCGAGAATAGGGCAAACCCAACTGCTCCGAAAACTCCGGCTTTGAGACCAGCTGAAAGCACAAACAAAACAAATGATAAGCTAGAATAGGAAAAAAAAGGGGTTGAAAAAAGGTGAGCAGTGCATGCATCGGAGAAGTGCCCATTCCGCATTACTTTTCAACATTTATGATTTTTTAAATTGATCGCTTTTAAGGACAAGCAGGCTAACTCAGATTTCGGGAATTTCCAGAAATCTTTACCAACACCAAAAATGGGCATTGTCCTACCTATAGGAGAAGTTTGGTTTCATTGGTATATTTGTTTGGTTATAGAGAAAACACTCCTTGCCTTTTAAAGAAACCGAAAAAGGGGCAAAACTTTACCTTCAATTTTCTCAAAACAGTATTTTTCGGGATAGCCCCCTTGTGCTTAAAAGCGACCAATTATTCAAAGCTCTTCGGGGCATGGCTGAGCCATTAAAATGCCATGTGACTTTAACAGATATAATGGATTTTTGTCTTATTTTTCTCAAATTACATCTAAATATGTATGTTAAACTATATCTAAAATCAATCATTGAGGTGAAAACAGCAATACTTTGTACTTGATGATCACGAAACAGAGTGATGTGGAACAGATAGAGCCATTGAAAGACTTTCAATTTTCCTGCATGCCACAATTCATGTTTTAAGAACACTGTACACTGTATCATACAGTGTCCTTCAAACATAAATTGGTCGCTTTTAAGGACAAGCGGGCTAACACCAGGTTTCGGGGGTTTCCAGAAATCCTGACCTACACCTAAAGCAGGCATTGCCCTACTTATAGGAGAAGTTTGGTTTCACTGGAGTGTATATTTGTTTGGTTAAAGAGAAAACTCTCCTTGTTTTTTAAAGAAACTGAACAAGGGGCAAAAACTTTATCATCGATTTTCTCAAAACAGCATTTTTCGGGATAGCCCCCTTGTGCTTAAAATTAAAAGCGACCAATTGTGGCATGCAGATCTCTAAGCAGACATTCGGTGTATACTTCAGGAAGGGGCTTCAAAATCAAAAATTTTGATGTTGATTATTTATGCCTTATTATCCTTCCAATATTCATACACAAAAAAGTACGAATGGAATTATAACAAGCTCAAACTTAATCTTGCGTTAGTGGTTTTCAGACTCTTATTTCAAGATAAAACTGTTTTTCACCTAGTTTTTTCAAGGCCTCTCACATACACGTGTATGTATACGAACACACAAATGTTCTATCTGATCTATCAAAATCATAAGATTACTTGGGAGTCTTTGTCAAGATATTTTTAAAAAATGCTTGATATGATCTGTAACCTAACATTTTTTACGTCAAATTTCTCAAAACTAAGTACTGAGCAGATAGAACTTTGCAGTACTAGTCTAGGGTACAGGGTAGCGAAATATTCCACAAGCTACAAGTTTCGATAGAACCTAAACTCTTACCTCTCAATCCCAGGATTCCACCTACAAAGCCACCTGCACAAGTTCCATTGATGAGTTCTGTCTTTCCTCGATACTGAAAAGGTTTTTTTAAAAGTTAAGTTAGAACCATGAACAACAATTATTGTTAAAATGATGTTAAAATTGATATGACGCTAATTACCCAATACTGCAGAGGTTTTTTTAAGTTAAGTCAGAACCAAAATACATGCCAATCTTCAAATGAACACAAACAAGGGCTAAAAATATTCTAAAGGGGTGTGGTTACTCAAGAGTGCAACCAAACAGAGTGTTAATAAATGGCAGTAAAACTTGCCAAGAGAAATGTTTGACACAAAAGGATAAGTGCATTACAAAAAGAACCTTCATCTTATTAATAGAAAAACTTGAAAAAGACCAAATTTGAGCTCCCAACATAACTGCATCTTTGAAAAGCACACCATCATCTTTTTTTAAAGTAAGTGTTTTACAGCACTTGCAAAACAGTTGGCTCATAGAAGTGTTGAAGAATAGCAGTTTTACAAGAAAGTAACTACAAAAAAGGAGAGATATATATGGATGACAGATGTCTGAGGAAAGAAGGAGCTTTCTTCTGCTGCATGAAATACAGTCAAACCTGCTCTTAGTCTTAACAACCACTTGACAAAAATACAAACCTCTATACAAACTAGCGCTTCCCACTTCCCTTTTTGCTACATGTACATGATGACACTGTCCAAGAGAACATCTAAGTCTAAGATGACCACTTTTCTCCGTAATGGTTGGGAGTCTTGGACAGGTTCAATTAGGTCTTCTTCTTTAACTCTTTAAACCCTGAGTTTTTTTCACCGTTTCCCCAAGTTTTTTCTACAGTCACCTACACCTGGTACACTATGTCTCATTATAACCCCAAAAGCTAGCCTCTAACTTTTAAATAGCGGAAACACAGGCTTAGTCATTACCACAAAAAAACTTGGTTCGGCAATAGTTCCGAAAAACAAGCAAAACCTAGTGCGAGCACTAAATAAAACAAAAGTTGTCACTAGTATCGGACGCTGCCAGCATCCGATGGGGAACAGGGTTATAATTACCGCCGGAGGCTCTCAGCATCCGATGGTATTTAAAAAGTAAAACCTGCTCACACTAAAGGTTATGAACATCTCTCTAGCATACTTAAAGAGTTATTTAAGGATTATATCTTCAATTGACATACCACAAAACTTAAAGAGTACCTTCAACTTACAACAAATATAAATTTAAAACAAAATTTAAGAGCATCCTCAACTTACCGATTCTATGACACATTCTGTTCCTGCAAACATAGCCCCGACCAGAGCAAAGTTTTTTCCATATGACAAAGAACGCGCCTTCATTTCCCGCAGCACCATTCGAGTTGTGGGGGTTTCCGTCGTCATTGTAGACATAGGGTCCACACCAGCGGTAAAAAGACCAAACGCAGCACCCAAGGCAAAACCTAGAAATAGAAACATACGCAATATATAGGGCATACCATGTATCAGAAGGACTTCCGTAACGAGCGACCACCCCATCAAACACAATAAAGAACAGGCCTAACCCTAACCCTACCCCTCAATTCTACTCTGTCTCATAGTGGTCGCTCGTTTCGGAAGTCCTCCCCGTGTATCTGTGTAAGAGAATTTTCAAGCTGCAAGGGAAAAAAAAGTTTTTTTTAAAAAAAATTTTTAATTAGAGACGCATAGATCTAGATTTTTCTATGTGTGTAAAGTTACTGTAATGTAAAGAAAACACTGTTGCAGTAATAATAAATAAGCCAGAGGCAATGCTTGTAATGTGAACTGGAGGGCCATATACGCATAGACAGGCGCTCCACATTACGCTATGCATACGGGAGGGCCATGCTTAGCCACGAGGCTATGCGTTACGGGAGCCTACGCATATAGCCGCATTGAACAAAAATTTTATCATAATAATAAATTAAAAGCATTTAAAAGTACAAATTTTCAGTCAACAGCAAGCTTTATGCAAGCGCATTAACATCTGACTGTTATTACAACCCCAGCAGACCTAATCATTCTCAAACAATCTCATCTCAACCCCATTATTATTATAGGATTATAGAGGAAGCATACACTTGTACTTGCAGGCAGCCCACCAAACAAGCAGCATGCTAAGTTATTAACAGATAAATAAAAAAATTAGTAGATCTAATGGTGAAACTAAAAATTTTGTCTGCGAACATATTTTCGTCAGCTTCCAATAGTTTGAATAGTATACACTCCTGCCCTGAAGTTGATATTATAGGCTCCGCAGCGCTATGTGATGTGATGCAATTTTTGGCAATGATAATGTAACGGTATGAGTATGAGGCTTTATGAGGTAGATCTAGTGAAAATGGCAAGGACAAATGAGAAAAGAAATGCCAATCACGTCTCCAAAATATAGCACCATCTTGTAAGTAAGCTATGACCGTTCATTCTTCCACGAAAACTTACCAACAACACAACTGGCGGAAGACTTAAATGCACAACTGTCAAATACTCCTCTTATGAACAACTCCTCACGGGATAGGGGCATTTGAGGTATGCCGCCAACAGAAGCTAGAATGTTACTTTTAGGCTGCTTTTTGTTACCAATGACATGATCTATAATCAAATTGAAATTAGCAACGTCTTTTCCAGAGAAATTTTTGGGAATTCCAAGTTCATTGAGCTCCCCGGGTTCTGTTTGGGATCCGTCCTTGGCGGAGGCACTGGACGCGGCCATGTTGTTTGTTGTGAAAAGGTACGTAACTCTTATCTATTGGCATCAACCACTCTAAGAAATATGGGTAGACTCCCTTCACAATTGTTGCCCATTGATTGCCAGTTAGACGGATTGAATGAATCAATCTTGTTAAAAACCACAAAGGATTATGCCACAGGCACTATTATTCACTTGGTGTATGGAATGTGCCATCAAGTTTCAATTTTTTAAAAATATTATGAACTATAACCCTTGTCTATGAGAAACCTTTCAATGAAAAGACAAAACTTTTATGACTGCAACTATAATTTCACCTGTAAAGAATCTGGCAGTTGGTGGTAAACGTCGTCAACAAATACGATCGATCGAGCATTGAGCGAGCATCAGCGGATGGCTTCGGCTTCATCTTGCCATTCGGTATGCCGTCAAGCTTGATGAGAAACTTGTTTTTAAAATAAATACTGGATTAAGCTGAAACAGTAAAGGGATATTCCCTGTCACAGTAAGTAAAAATTTGATATCCTACATAATTATAAAATCGTACAATAATAATTAGCCTATTGGCCAATACAGTTGTGTAGTAGAAATCTAGCAGTAGATGAGTAGGAAATGCAGATCTTGGTTCCGAAGATGGATCAGACAATCAGTTAAATAGAATCTAGAAAATGTCAACGATTAGAGGGATTACAGTAGTATGGTACCACAAGCCCCTGCTCTATGTTCTTGCCTGTTAAAGTCTTTTCTAGTAGATATACAGTTTCTATTGTCTTCTCTTTGTCCATATATATATATATAAATCCTATCTGCGCTACTACTACTACTGCTATTATTTTATAATCTGTACCCTGTGATGTCTATAATGTTTGTTGCACTATAGTATAGTCTATACTTAATTAATTTAGATCTAGATTCTAGATCTGGATCTTAATTCTTATTAAATTCCCTTTCAATTTCCAATAAATAGTTAATTCCATAGGCAACCCCACGTTCAAACATTTTATTCAGATCTGGAGAACTCTCTAAGTAATAAGGCAAGGTAAGATTTAACTTGGCTACCACATTTCCGGAACCAATCCAAAATGTGTCCTAGTCATTTTGAAGAAAATCTCAACTGTGTAAAAAATTTGTAAAATAAAATGTCAAATTCAAATCAACTGTGGCAGCCAATGGTGTCGTGTAGTTTATTTTGTACACTGTACACAATCAGGATCAGAGGTTTGTGACACATCCCGTTGGTTTCATATGTTTTCGCAAGAGTGAAGCTGACAGCCAATAACTACCCCCCCCCCTTCCTCACACACGCACTCAACTACAATGAGCCCTCCGAGACCTCTTCCATCATGCCTTTGTTAACGTTACGTTCATCCTTGAACCTATGTAACAATGTGTTCCCAACACCCCAGGGCCATATTACGAATTTTTTAGCCAGACTACTAGATTTCTATGTGGTATTTGTTTTTGTTGATTGCTACAAAACATACACACCATAGAATAAGGCTGGCTCTATTTCTCCGAACGCTCGTGAAAATAAATTTGAGCTCTTACATTTCTGCGAACGGTTTCCGTTCTCGAGATTTATATGATGATAATTGTGAGGCATTGTTGTGAAACTAGCGTCGATTTTGGAACACATGGGGTTATTTGTATCATCTTAACGGTTGTTTATTTCCTTTGCTTTCGATGGAAAAAATATCCATTTATCTTGAATAGAAGTCGAGATATTTGCAATAGAAGGAGGTGGGGTCGCCTGGTTTTGGAAGTTAAATTATTGAGAAAATGGCCGCAAAAGTTTGGTGACTTCCACAGCTTACAGTCCTTGGAAACGGCATATTTATATTTTTTGTCCCTTAAATCAATGTTTTTAAACAAAATCCACACAAAGTGTTTTTGAAAGGACATTCAAGGTGTTGAGCTAAAAAACAAATATTCGAGAAAAAAAATTCAAAACTGGTCGAACAATGCCGATTTCTCAGATTTCATTATTTTGACGAGCGCCTGATTTCCCCATGATGCCTGTCTGTCTGTCTCTCTCTCTCACAATTGCGAATGGAGTGGCCTGTGTGTGTATGTGTGTTAGTGAGTTTGCGTGTGTGTGTGTGAGTGAGTGTGCGTGTGTGTGTGTTTGTGTGTCATGTGTAGTGTGAGTGTGTGTGAGTGTGTCATGTGTAGTGTGAGTGTGTGTGAGTGAGTATGTGTATGTGTGTGTGTGAGGTGTAAACGGGGGGGGGGGGGGTTTTTTTTTGTTTACATGAAGGATTTTAGTTTTTGCCCGGTGACTATTTGCAAAATAGTTTATTGCCAAGGTCGATCGGTCTTGTTTTCTCGTAATACCTTTTGAAGCCATTTTCAAATGAAGTATAGTCAGGGAACGTTGCCCCAACCACAACTGAAGTATCTGAATATTCAGACTTTTAAAAATCTCTAGCTCTAGAAATTGAATTCGAGGCAAAAAAATGCTTCTTCCCGGTCCTCGCTGAATGGCAGAATGAAAGATGATGCCTCAATCTCTCAATTGATAACCAAATTATCTCGAGAACGGAAACGGTTCGGAGAAATGAAATAGAGTTCAAGTTTATTTTCCCGAACGTTCGGAGAAATAGTCACTTCGATACAATAATAATGCTAGTGGGTGGGTAGCCCTGGATTAATTTGATCTGACAGGCATTATCTTCTCTAAGGCTCAAAGTCATTTAATAAGTGAGGCAGAGTGGTGGAATCAAGCTCTTGTCAAAATAATCAAAGTGAAGAAACTTGCATTTTTCCACAGGTTTGTGAATTTTCATCAAATTTTTTGTTTTTGGGCTACACCTTTCATGCCCATTAAAGAACTCATTTCTGTGTGGATTTTTCTGAAAAACGTTGATTAAAAGCACAAAAGATGTACATTTTCAGTTACCACGGACTCTTAAGCTAAGGAAATGAGTAATCTTTGGCAGACATTTTCTCACTAATTTTACCTCTGAAAACTGGTGACCCCCACCTCCTTCATTCTCAAATATCTCGACTTGTATTTGAGATAATGGATATTTTTTTTCATCCAAATAAAGGCAAGTGAACAAGCTTTAAAATGATACCAATAACTCTACATGCCCAACAATTGACGAGAGCCTGACTCCACCAACCTGCCTCACATAAGGTTTCATCAACTTTACCATCACAATCATATATTCCTTTTATGCCATGTTATATTGTAAGGGTTGAAGCAACCCACCTGTTAAATGAAAGGAGAGAGAGAGAGAGAGAGAGATAGGGGGGAGGGGAGGGGAGGGAGAGACAGACAGACAGGGACAGGGACAGAGAAAGAGAGACAGAGAGAGAGAGAGGGGGGGGCAGGGAGAGACAGATAGACAGGGACACAGACAGAGAAAGAGAGAGAGACGGAGACAGAGAGAGAGAGGTGGGGGGGAAGGGAGAAAGAGTGACAGAGAAAGAGAGACAGTAGGTGGAAGGGTGGGTGGTTGGGGGAGGGGGGGTAGTCTCGACTTGTTGGAAAACATGATACTGATAGTTATATTGCCTTGTGATTGTGATCTAAATTCTGTCGATTAGGGCGTAAGAAAGAGTTAAAACCTCTATAAAAATCAACCATCTCTGAGCTGTCAGTGCCGCGGTAGACTGTGTGTGTGGGTGGTTTGCGGGTGCTCTGGTGTGGTCTGCTTCTTCTTTCCTATCAAACATCTATCGTCCTCTCCCCTCCTTCTTTTTTATGTTTGTTACTCTCTTGTAACACCTCTAATCTTCTGACGCTCAAATGACTTTATGCGGTTGTGAGCGCCGTAAAACCTCTACTAAGACTAAAAACTAAGACTGTGTGGCGCCGCGCGGGCCCCAGTCTCCTCACGCTGACATATGACACCTGTTTCACTTTAACTAAATCCGGATAAAATGCTAGTACACCTCTTCGGCGGATGTTTCATGAACCGCTTCGGAAAATGGGTTAGAACCACTTCGAGAAACGGGTTATAACCGCTTCAACAATAAATAGGTGCGCTCACTTCGACATACGGATTAGTAAAGAGAGTTTAAGGAGTCTGAATTCGAACAACGTTTCTTTGAGAATTATCCGATCCGATTATCCGGATAGGTTAACCGGATTGTGCCCACCACTACCGCACGCTGACATGTGACACCTGTTTCGTGATGCCAGCCAATCGGGTACTCTCGGGTCAATTCTGTACTCGCTTCTTATCTTGTTTTTTCTCTCCATCCTGGATTTTTGCGTCCCCTTTTATTTGATTGATTCCCCACCCGCCTA